CTGATGCATCCATTTTGGGAACCCTAATGTTGAAAAGCCAAACTTATAAACACTTAGTGCCCTTGATGTTGATGATGGTTTTCGACAGTTCTGATGCATCCATTTTGGGAACCCTGATGTTGAAAAACCAAGCTTATCAACATTAAGCGCCCTTAGCGTTCATGATCGCTCTTGACAATTCTGAGGCTTCCATTTTGGGAACCTTAGTTTTGAGAAACCAAACTTACAGAGAGCGAGCAAACGTGCATCATTTTGATTTTCGGAAAAGCAACTACTTGCAGCCACTTGGCAGCCACTTGCTCAAGCAGCCACTTGGCAGCCACTTGGCAGGCACTTGCTGCAGCCCCTCGGGGCAAGTGTCTGCGAGTGGATGCAAGTGGCTGCTTGGGCAAGTGGCTGCAAGTGGCTGCAACTAGCTGCAACTGATTGCAGCCATCTGCAGCGACGTGGCATCTTAAAAAAAAAATGATGTTGTAGACTTTACTTTTTGTTCAAGATTGTCTGTCGTAGATTGCTAGCAGCCATGCACCAGCCGCTACCCCCACCGATTGAAACATAGGTATAAAAGCTGTTTCGAAGAGGAAAACAAAGGGCCAGATTGTTTGTATTTGAGGGCCAGCGCCCACTTGCAGCCAGCGAACTTACGACTACCTGTTTAGTAATTTTTGTGGGTTGTTTAATCATCATGATGGTTTACCTTAGTAGGTGAGTCACAAGCGTGGTTTGTAAGTCGCCGTTTTGCGGGTCATAACATCTTTGAGTGTGTTATAACTTATAACTTTGGGTATTGAGCATTTCATCATTGATTTAAAAGGTATATTTTAACTGGCGGAGGTTCGAATTCCATCGTCATACCTATATCAAATTTTATAAACCAGGCCCTGCAGAGTTTTGAAGTCGACCATCAACAGATTGGTTGAAGGAAAATACCAATCTTAACCAGAATCTTAATCTTGTTTTTGCTGTTGTGGTTCTTGTTTTTACCCGGCAAGGGCGAGAACTTGCAGCGTATCATCCAACATGTTTGAAGGTTGGGGACAAGATCTTACACCGTACAACCCAAGATAATTGAAAGTTAAGGACAGGGTCTTACACCGTAACATCCAAGATGCTGGAAAGTTAAGGAGAGGATCTTACAGAGTAGCATCAAACATGTTCGGAACTTAAGGACAAGACCTGACACCGTAGCATCAAAGGTGTTTGAAGATTAAGGGCAAGGTCTTACAGCGTGGCATCCAAGATTCAAGATGTTTGTAATTCAAGGACAGTGTTTTAGGGCATATCATCCAAGATGTTCAAAGTTAAGGACAAGAGCTTCGAGCGTAGCGTCCAAGATGATTGAATGTCACGAGCACGATCTTACGGTGCACCGTAGCACTCAAGATCATTGAATGTTAAGGATAAAGTCGGATAGAGTCTTACTCCATAGCAACCAAAATCATACAAAATGCTTGAGGGCTCAGGACAATCTCTTCTTGGGCAGCATCCAGATCTTCAAAGAAATTGCTATTATTTCTTTTGTTCTCGTTTTTGTTTTTGTTCTTGTCATTGCTGTTGTTATTGTTGTTATTGTTGTTATTGCTCTTGTTTTTTTTGTTATCTCGTTTTTGTTTTGTTCTTCTGGTTGTTGTTGTTGTTGTTGTTGTTGTTGCTGTTGCTGCTGCTGCTGCTGCTGGTGGTGTTGTTGTTGTTGTTACTGTTACTGTTACTGTTACTGTTACTGTTGTTGATCTTGTGGTTATTGCTTTTGATCTTGTTCTCGTGGTTGTGATAGTTGCTCTTGTTCTGGTTCTTGTTTGTTAAGGACAAGAACTTACAGCGTGTCATCCAACACTTTTGAGGGTTAGGGACAAGACAAACAGAATCTTAGAGCGTAACATCCAACATGTTTGAAGGTTAAGGACAAGATCTTACTTCGTAGCAACAAAGATTTGCAAGTTAAGGACCAAATTTTGCACGGTAGCAACCCGGATGATTGCAAGAACAGGCTGTGATCTGACAGCGTGGCATCAAAGCTGTTCGAAAATCAAGGGCAAGATTTTGCGGCGTAGCATCAAGGATGATCGAAAGTTAAGGACTTGTTCTTAGTTTTGTCTTTGTGGTTGTGTTCTTGTTCTTGATATTGTTATGTTTCTTGTTCTTGTTTTTGTTGTGGTTCTTGTTCTTGTTCTCCGTTTTGTTTTCCATCTTGTTCTCCTTGTTCTCATTGCTCTCCTTGTTCTATTCGTTCTTGTTCTTTGTCTTCTTCTTCTTCTTCTTGTTGTTGTTGCTGTTCTTGTTTAGAGTTGTTTTTGCATGTTTTTGCAAGGTCTATGTCGCATAGCCCGGGACTGTCTATCACACCGGGGGGGACATTATGGACAATATCTTTAAGCCCAATACCAATACAAAGGAAAATTGCCACTTGTTAGTCGTATTGTCACTTGCTCAACAGCCACTTGCAGCCACTTGCAGCCACTTGCAGCTACTTGGCAGCCATTTGGCAGCCACTTGCTCAAGCAGCCACTTGCAGCCACTTGCAGCCACTCGCAGACACTTGCCCCAAGTGGCTGCAGCAAGTGGCTGCCAAGTGGCTGCTGGAGCAAGTGGCTGCCAAGTGGCTGTTTTTTTTAATCAAATTGCGCACCTCGTGCGCCCACAATGCAGACTTATCAACATTAAGCACGTTTTGAATTCATTGCATGCGAAAATTTCAGCTGCTGGCCAGCAGCAGGATTCCTTTGCTGAGCAGCAGGTTTCAGTGACAATGGTTTTTAATGCTGAAGCACAGCAGCAGGGTTCAGCTAGAAGTCTGTTGACGTGCAAGTGCCTATCCTAACTTAAGCTGCTGGTCAGCAGCAGGGAACCCTTGCTGAACGGCAAGTTTCAAGGCAGTTGCTGGGCAACTAATGATCTTATGGTTCAATCATGGTATAAGTGGCTGGTGACACTAACTGTCTGCTGCTGTGCAGCAGCAGGGTTCAGCTGGAATTTTGCTGGCCAGCAACCGTCTAATCTTGTTTAAGCTGCTGACCAGCAGCAGGGAACCCTTGCTGAACAGCAAGTTTCCAGGCAGTTGCTGGCCAACTGATGATCTTATGGTTCAGGCATGGGATAAATGGCTGGCGCCAGTTAACTTTTTGCTGCTGCGCAGTAGCAAGGTTCAGCTAGAATCTTGCTAGCCAACAGCATCCTTTTGAAACTTGCAGCTGTCCAGCGATGGAAAACTTAGAAGCACCGTTGGCCAACAGCAGCCTTCCTTTTTAGCAACGGTTTCCTGCAGCTGTCCAGCAGCAGAAACTTCAATAGGCAACCATATGAATCACAAACATCGTAGCCATTAATGGCCAACAAGAACCTTGCTGTTCAGCAAGGGTCCCCTGTTGCTGACCAGAAGCTTAAACTAGGTTAAATGGTTGCTGGCCAGGAAGATTCTAGGTGAACCCTGCTGCTGTGCAGCAGCAGAAATTTATTTACACCAGCCAATTATATCATGATTAAACCATAAGATGCCATTACTCGCCTAACAGCTGCCTTGAAACTGGTTGTTCAGCAAGGGTTCCCTGCTGCTGACCAGCAGCTTAAGCCAGGTTAGACAGCGACTTTTTTAAAACCGTGCAGCTGTCCAGCAGCAGAAACTTCAATAAGTGCTTAAACCAAAAGCGTTTAAACCTTTGTTGGTCAACGAAAACCCTTGCTGTTCAGCAAGGGTTCCCTGCTGCTGACCAGCAGCTTAAACAAGATTAGACCCTGTCAGGCTTTGCATCCTTGCTGAACAGCAAGTAACTATCAGCACCCAGCTAAGGATGACAAATGATCTCGGCAAGCATCAGTGTTTCCATCAATGCTTGTTGATGCTTTTCGCATGTCGCCACAATGATTTCGATGGACGTCTTCCATATCTATCGATGTTGTTTTCATGGCTTCCTTTGCAAACTTTCATTTTTTGCAATGCACTTTGTTAAGATCTATAGGCACTGTTTCATCGAGTAAGGTTTATCTGATACCACCCTTCCATGCAACCCTTTCATGTACACTGCCATTGTTTCAATTGATCCCTTTGATGATCTGCAATGTGCACCAGAGTTGCGCCCACTAAGCCTGGTGAAGGCTACCCCAGTTTTTAAATTGTTAAAGTTATCACCATGGATTCTATGAGTCCATGAATGGAAGTTCATGATCGTCATCATTTTCCATGGTTCCCCTGTTCCTGCTTAACAGCCAGCAAGAATAGATGGATGGATAGGATAGATAGAATAGATAGAATAGAATAGAATAGAAAAGAATAGAATAGAATAGAAGAGAATAGAATAGATAGATAGATAGATACACATATGAGAGAGAGAGGGAGATAGTTGGATAGATAGATAGATGGATAGATAGACACATGAAAGAGAGGTAGATAGATAGATCGATAGATCGATATATCAATAGATCGATAGTTCGATAGATAAGATAGATAGATAGATGGATAGATAGATAGATAGATGGGTAGATAGATAGATAGATAGATAGATAGATAGATAGATAGATAGATAGATAGTTAGTTAGGTCGATATATAGATAGATATAGATAGATATAGATAGATATTGATAGATATAGATAGATATAGATAGATATAGATAGATATAGATAGATATAGATATAGATAGAAAAATAGATATAGATAGAAAAATAGATATAGATATAGATAGATATAGATAGATATAGATAGATATAGATAGATATAGATAGATATAGATAGATTTAGATAGATTTAGATAGATATAGATAGATTTAGATAGATTTAGATAGATATAGATAGATAGATAGATTAGATTAGATTAGATTAGATTAGATTAGATTAGATAGATAGATATAGATAGATATAGATATAGATAGAAAAATAGATATAGATAGATATAGATAGATATAGATAGATATAGATCGATTGATAGATTGATATAGGTAGGTAGATAGTTAGATAGATAGATCTTTCAATAGTGTTGAAGAGCCCCAGATACGAACCCTTGCCGCACTGCAGCAATTTGAGGGTTCGGAATTTTCGGGACTGCTCCGCTCCTCACATCTGACACCATGGCGTGGATCCTCAACATGCAGCGTTTCATCAAGGATTGAAGCCCACTGCGAGGACCATCCGTTTTGACAAGTTATAAGTGTGTGAGCAACTGAGCCATTAAAATTACCCTGGTTAATTGATTGCTATAGGGGATTATACTACCTGCTTTACTGGGGGAACCTATCAACTGGGGCTAGTTCAGCCATTTATCCATGGGATGATCCTCCAAGTGTCCAGCTTTTCGAGGCGGCTAGGTTGCTGGTCACTTAGGCTGCGCTCAAGAGGTTTGGTCAACCCGTTTAGGCCAACAGGATCCAAAAGGAATGTATGTCATTGTATGTCAAAAGATGTCAAAAGATGTTAAAAGATGTCAAATGTTAAAACCGGCCGTTCAATCCTGCCATACCAACTGAAGAAGCCGCCACTATAGTTTTTTGGCTGTCCTTCCCTGTGGGCCAAGGCCTACCAAGAGCGGGGCATTAACAACAGGTGCACTTGCTGGGGGTAAGGTCAGCAAAAGTGGAATTGAGGAAGTTCGGCTTAGAATTGGAATAATGCATATTGCAAGGTAAAAGGAAGAATAGAGAATACAACCAGGATGCACTGCCAAAGATTTCAGCTAGAATGGGTATTGATCCAATCAATACAAAATTGCTAGCATTCAATTGTTCAATGCAATCCCCATATCATGCATATATCTCGCATATTAGGTCATCCATATCCGCGTTTCTGAAATTTAGAGTTTGACCCATCACTACCCGTCTATAAATTTCGAATGGCACAAGCTTGAGGATCCCTTATTTTGATATGAGGATGGGCACACACACAGAAACGTGATGGCTGTTTGTTGTTGATTAAGCTCAGGTTTGTCCAAGATTTATATATATATATGTATATGTATGTATCTCCACCTGACTAGATGATGCAAATCCTGTTTCAGAAGCACCTAAATGGCTGCGTGGCTGAAGGGATGATGATCCCTTCAATGGTGAATGGCCACGGCAATTTTTTTTATAGTCATGGGGATACCCCAAGCTCGCTGGATGGTCTTTTTCACTGAAAATCCTTTGAAAATAGGTGAGAACTGGAGGTACCCCTATGACTTAGGAAACCACCATATTTTCTCCGAAGTGGAATGGTTTTTGTTGTCCCTCAATCACAGAAAGCGCGCGAGCGACGCATTGAGGTGGGGCACTGAAGACAACAAGTTGGCCAAGACTTTGTTGTGCGACAATGGCGGGGTTCCAAGCGGCCGGTTTCATGACTGGCTCAAGCAACTGGTACAAGTTACTGGAAGGGGCCCCTAAATGGAGATACTGTAGATACATCATAGACTGGCTCAAGCAACTGGTACAGTTGGAATGTGGGGAAAGTTACTGGAAGGGGCCCCTAAATGGAGATACTGTAGATACATCTAGATATAGATAACTATATATTATATGTTATTATCATTAATCTATGTATATATATATATATCATGTGATATACATATGTTATATACATATATATATACATATGGTCCAGCGTTCCAACCCCCCGCCCCCACCCGGCCATGGTCATGGTTCAGCCAAAGTACTGCCCCTGTGGTGTGGTGGGGGTGTGGTATGGTATGTATGGTGTGTATGGTCGGTCTGGTATGGCATGTTTGGAATGTATGGTATGTTTGGTATGCATGGTAGGTATGGTATGTATGGCATGTATGTTTGGTATTGTATGTATGGTAGGTGTGGTAATTATGTTTCATAGGTATGGTATGTGTGGTATGTATGATAGGTATGATAGGTATGGTATGTATGGTCAAAGTTCGCATGGTATGTATGGTATGTATGGTATATATAATTGGAATGTATGGTAGGTACGGTTTATGTTCAACACATGCAGTGTTGTGAGAGCACACAGGTAGTAAATAGGAAGTAGATACATAGCACATGTATATATGACAATGGGTAGCACGTAGGTACTTTGAGGGGGTATGTGTGCTGCGTAGGTCGTCTAAAAGGTAGCATGTACGTAGTAAATGCGAGGCTGGTAGTCAGAAATGCTGCAAAGACCTACCAAATACGAGGCTGGACTCAGAAATGCTGCCAATAGCTTGCAAATAGAAGGGAATGGGGGTGCTACCTGGGGACCCATACCATTGGGGGGGTAGGAACACGGAACACGAGACCATATATACATATACATATGTATATCGTATGTATATATATATATATCATATGTATGTGTGTATGTATGTATGTATGTATGTATGTATGTATGTATGTATGTATGTATGTATGTATGTATGTATGTATGTATGTATGTATGTATGTATATACATATATAGATATATGTTCACATATATACATATTTTTATTTACATATATACATCATATATGTATATACATATATATCATCAATATATATATATATATGTCTATATGCCTGTATTTAAATATGATTATATATATATATACACAAAGTGTATCTAACCATACCATCCATTTTGTTGAAACTGCTAAATATTAAGTACTTTTTTGCACAGTATGTAAAATGTGATATGTTCACAGTCGCAATTCAAGTACGCTCAAGTCCCGACTTCCGGGTGCTTTTGGAAGCAGTTTAGGTCAAACTTGGATGAGCAGTTTAATCCTTTAATATTTTGTGATTTCTACAGGAATTTCTACGTTCACCAGCTGACAGTTTTTTTTTGGCAGGGTACCTAAGATTGGCCATTGAAGTTCCCCCTTTGTAGCTGATGGCTATGGATCGCGACAAGGTATCAGCAACACCGACCTGAAAAAGTCCCGAAACGACGATGACGAGAGTACTGTACGGGCGACCCAGTGTGGGTGCGGATGTTTAGATGCACGGAATCAGAGCATGTCATGTATATATATATATGTATCGTATATATGTATATATGTATCAATATATATATATACACACATTGTATGTATGTATATATATATATACAGCTGCCTACATATATTCAATAGTCATCCTATATGAATGATGGATACATATATATATATATATTCAAGTAGTCATCCTAGGTGCTTTCTAGCCTGAACTCTCTGATGGATAAGCAGGGGGAATCCTTCAAGAGTATAGAAACACACGAGAAGCACTCAATGACTCGGATGTTCATCAGTTGCACACATGAAGACACATCTTAGAGGGTAGGACGAGTAGAGGATGACCCTGACACAGATTAGCTTGGCTCAGAATTGGATACCCCATTCCATCATATTCCATCCATTTCCATCGCATCGTTTGCCGCCATGTGTCCCATTAAGTTGCCATAAATAAATTAGGGCATTCCCCAGTTCAAGACAAACCTAGATGTTTACAGTTTGCATTTGACAATCGTCCCTATTTTATCAATTGAGTATATAAGTGTTTCTTTTCTGTGGTCACGGTTTCAATTCAATTATAGATATAAGTGGGACAACCCCACTATGTCATTGCATATCTGCATTGCCACCATGGCTCTGAACGATTTGTCCTCTCGTGATTTCTCTCATGTAGTTATCTCATGTTTGTTGGTTGTACCTTCCTATTTTTTTGGCCTTCTGTTGTTGGTTTACTTGGATTGCTGCTGCTTATTCCTACCATATTTATATTTCTTGGTCGAAGCACCTGTTCTTGTTGTTTTGAATCTCAGTGCTGTTCGCTTTCAATCCATTTCAATTATTTTCAATTTCTACTAGTAGTTTCAAATCCAGAATAAGATCAATCAAAATCTCGGTCATGTTCTTTGCTATTGCAGGCCTCATCATACCCAGTTTAGATATATGTTTATGCTGTTTGTTTGTACTGATACTTATATATGAAAATACATATATACATATGTTGTTCTATTGTTTTATTTATATTGTCATAATTCACATATATATATACTTGCAGGGTATTCAAGATTCGTCTCATGTAAGCATCACCACATAGATGAAAGTAATGATGCACAATCTGAAAATGAAATGATGTATTGTATATGTATATAATATATACATGTATACTGTATACCACATCACCGAAAATGGAATGATCCCTCAAAAGTATCACCGCGCATCGATCTCTGTAGGACTCCTGCTCCACTGATGAAGGCGATGGAACTTTGTACCGGGACTTGCGAAAAAATAGGGAAATCCCGCCACGAAATGTCGGTTTTCATGGGAAAATCTTGGGAAAATCGTGGGAAACCATCTACAAATGTTGGTTGTCATGGGAAAATCAACCATAAATAGCTGCCTGGTGTGATTACCGGAGGGTATTCAAAACTATTCGGATGACTTCAGTCAAAAAAAAGGGGACTTAGCCTGAAATGGAGATTGAATTCGCAAAAACTGATTTGGGGAAACAAGGTTGGCTTCACGGACAAGGATGTAGCATCCCATTTACCCTGCGGTGTCAAGCATGGCAAGTTGGAAATCCCATGATGTAAACGGAAGTTTTAACGGGAACATCATTGAACCTGCCATGCGGGATTTTCCGTTGCCATGTGTGATGATGCAGATATCATTTTACAACGGGAGTTTTAACCATGGTTACTAGTCGGCTGTTCAGTCAAAATGAGAATCAAAAAATTACCTCGCCAGTTCTGTTCAAAAGTTTCAATGATACAGAGACGTTCAGAAATCATGACAAAAAAAGCACCTCAAATGGACAAAGCACCGGTTTTGCATTCCCATTTTGACTTATAGCTGGTGGTTTGGACCATGACTTTTGTTTTTCCATTCATTATATTTTATTGGTAAACCATCTATTTCTATGGGCCATCTATACCATGGCGAACTGTTAAATAACCAGAGGGTATATTGGGAATAGTAATCCCACCTGACGAATATCTTTCAGAGGGCTTGGCTTAACCAGGAATCAGTAGCCATGGCGCCAAAACTCCACCGGATTCGGATGCGCTGGGGAAAAAAGGATGACACGTTGAGGTGCATTTTTTTAACCTATCAACTCGAGAGTAGCCCGAATATACGTACAAATATATACTGTATATATATATATACATTAGATATATATATATATACACATTATATATTATATATATAATGTACATATTAGATCATATTAGATGGGTGTATCCCCCCCAAAAAACTGGGTGAATTAATCATCTACCTGGGAGACACATCCAAGCACGAACTTGATGAACAAAACACAGGATTTACATGGATTTATGGGGAGACAAGACTAAGATCATCCGTGTTAAGTTGATGCCTGTTTTCACTACAAGATACTGTACTGTACCATTTTTTTCATAGGGAATTCACCCAGCAAAAAATGAAATGCGAAACAATATCAATATCGATTACCGCACGGTTTGCTAACAAAACGATATGGGAAACCCATGGCAACTCATTGGAAAATGATCTACAAAGGGTGGATTTCCCATATCGTTATAAACCAGTTGGATCCAATTAGAGAGTGACATAGATCATAATTCAACCAGTTTATATAATCCCATCCCCTAATATTTATATAACTATTAAACTTCGCATAAACAGTCTCAAGTATGTGGTTCATCCCCTACTAAACCCATGGGTTTTTGCTTGCTGTTTCAGATAAGCGAGCGATCGACGATTGAAAAACGCCAGGTCAGAACCGCGTGCCGGTGCAGGTGTGACCCCGTTCACGGAGACTGGGGAAGAAGCCTCAATTAAATGATGATTATGAATGATCATTATGGCTACGGCCAATGTTTCATCCCACTGTTCGTAAATCCATCCAAGTGATATACTGGTGATTTTATTGGGCCAAGTACTGTAGGTTTCGTGCACTGAAAAGAGTGGTGTTACTTTCTGAAAAAGTGGATCTCTATGTGGGATGAAGCACGAAATTTGCCCAGCTTGGACCGATGGAACTTCCTCAAAAAGCTAACAATCTCCGAAATCTTGTGGGAATGCGCTTATCATCGTTCAATCTTCACGGAGTTTTATATTTTATTTTCGGCTATATCAACCGATGTGTTGGTTATTTCAAAAGCTGGCCACGTAGGTTTGTGTTGGTAGTTTCAAAGCTGTTTAGTTTACCACTGGATCATGAATCCCAAATGATCAGGTCTCACGGTCTTACTCCACCAGAGAGGATAATCTCTACCGTGCACAGACGCAGTTTTGGAGTCTATTTGGTGCCTGTCAAGATAGAGTTTTGGGGGAACACCAATCATGGTTTCCAGATGTTTCCAGTTTTCCTACTCAAAAAGGAGAAAGGAACGCCCTTGCATGGAAAGTGTGAATTCCAAATTCAAAGAAGCCAGAAATTACACCCATCGAATTTGGTAACATCCTGACAAAAGATGGTGTAACATAGTAGCATTTCACATCAATGCGTACTTATATATGTATGTATATATGTAAATACATATAATATACAATGATAAATATATTTATATATATGATATATGTGTCTTTTTATTTATTATATTCTATTATGTACATCTTATTCACATGTAATTTCGGTACTTTAGAATTTGCGATTGGTGGCATCTCCCAAAAACAAAACCAGAGCCCGTCGCCCGTCGGTAGGTTGGTCCCGGGCTATTCCCCACGCACAAGGCGCAGTGGTTTGCGCAGTGGTTTGGTCCATGTTGGGTCCATAGTTGGAAGAGTCATTGTTTTGCAATGCTTCTGAACTAGAGATATCAAGCATCAAATTTATGGGGATGTCGTTGATTTGATGAGATTTTAGGCATTCAAAAATGTGGATGTAGTTGATTTGATGAGATTGCAATTGTGGGTTTTTTTTGTTGGCATCATGCAATCAGGACATGGTTTGATATCAACACTAGCATTTGGTTTGTCCCAAAATCCGCAATATACATCAGTATACACCAGTTAAAATTGCATCTTTCGATGGGGTTACAATAAATCTTTTGGGGAAAATTACAATAAATCATGGAAAACAGCAATTTTGCGACATCCAAATGCAATCATCCTCTGGTAATTTAACATAGCTATGAACAATCACCGTGCTTAAAAACGGTGAATCATCGAACTTTCTATGGGCCATGGCTCCCGTAGTGTGTGCAACATGCGTGAGTGTGTGGGTGAAAAAAATGTGGGACCAGTAAGTGGTATGTCAACACCAGGATGTGATCTACTTGATCTACCCATATCAAACCATACTCTTGCTTGGGTAAGCTAGGAATTGAAGTTTGGTGTGGATCAAATTTGGTTTGACCCCCCATTTGGGCAAGGTGAAGTACCAAAACTCTTGGGCCAAAGCCACATGACTGAAAATGGGGTAGCCCATGGTAGTCTAGTTTATCCCATGATTGAAAACCTGAAAAGTCACTGAAAAGGCTTTAAGACGACATGAGTACATTTATCATACATATATAATAGATAGATAGATAGATAGATAGATAGATAGATAGATAGATAGATAAATTGATAGATTCATAGATAGATAGATAGATAGATAGATAAATAGATAGATAGATAGATAAATAGATAAATAGATAGATAGATAGATATATAAACAATATAATATATATATATACATATATTGTTAATATCCCTTTTATATTTCCATGATATCCAGAGGATATCTCGATGATATCTCCACAAGTTCAGAAATTTTCCTTTCCAGTGGTTCGATGGGAGCGAGTTTCAGCGAGTTTCCCAACCGCTAACGATAGCTACCCTCTGGTTATTTAACGTAGCGAACTGGAGAATCACAATTGTTACCCTCTGGTAAACTAACATAACTATGGAAAATCACCATTTTCAATGGGAAAATCCACTATAAATGGTCATTTTCAATAGCTATGTTAAATTACCAGAGGGTAATAGGTAAATCATCAGTTTGATATATATATATATATGATTTATAGAGCCATGTTCCATAGCTATGTAACCAATCACCAGAGGGTTCTTCCCCCAGGTTCTGTCCCAGATGTGTCTTTTCATGTTTAAGTGACCAAGTACTGCAGGACGATGCAGCCTATGTGGAGTGCGGGTCCTCAACACTCTCAACACGGCTGATTTGGAGATCAAGATCCCACAAGACGAATCCAAATGATAGAGATACCTAGACCCTCCAAGTACTTGTACAATTTCTATATAATTTGAACCTCACAATTCTATTTTGCATGTATGTTCACAAATATCAATGACTTGGAGGGTCTAAGTATGTATATGTTTCAATGTTATTTTTTCGAAATGGAAGTCATAAATGTTTATCTGAACATGACCCAGCTGGTCGGATACCAACATGCAGCGGTGCTGTTTGAGGACTTACTTTTTGGGGTGGTTGGCTTTCTACTGCTTTCTGAAGTACAAAAATGGAGACCCTAAAAATCCATTCAAAAATCCTCAAAATGCCATGGATTCTGGGCAATTTTTACCGACCTCACTACGACCTCACCTTTTCATCATGCTTAGTAAGGGGGAAGTATCCCAATATCTCCCTATTTCAGGTTAGTGAATTATTCTAATTCACCCAGATTCTAGCAGAAGCAGCTTCCATCATTGGGGGCATACAGCAATGACAAATATCTCTAGCACATTTGTTACATTACCAATGATTGATGTGTATATTATGCGTATTATACATATATATATATAGAGATTATAGCATATATAGCATATATATATAAGGCATTAAATAGTTATCCTGAAGCAACTAGAATGTCGAACTATTGAACCCACTCACTAAGATGAGAACACGTTTGAAAAAAAACACGTTATATCCTGTTCAGGATGACAATAACACTATCCTTGGTTGGTGGCCTGACATCAAATTTTAATGTTATCCTACTTGGGATGATGATCCCCATAGTTACTATCTTTGAGTGAAGCCAACAAATATATATATACATACATATATATATATAGCTATATCTATCCTGAACAAATCCAAGTATCTTGTTAGAAAGTATGGCTGGGGTATGATATGCTATGATTTAGGGGCCAAAGGCCGTACCTTCGAAGTTCGGAAGTATTTAGATCCATACGGTAGATATATATCATATTATACTATTCTAAATGCAGTATCTATAGTCTACATACCATAAACATGATGCCGAAAAGTGAATGATCACTATTTCAATTTATTTGTTCACAGGGCTCTAACATTTTCTTTTGGGGGGGCTAACTATACGTATATATATATATACATATATATATATACACATATATATATACATATACATATATGTATATACATATACACATATATACATATATACATATATACCAGCGTACATTTCTGCTTGCCCCAAGGTCTGAGTTCGACTACGATGAGGCGCGAATCGGTTTCCCAGATCCAGAGTAGTAGCAATATCGATCTTACGATATAACAAAATACTCATGGCTTGCAAATGATACATTATTAACATGATTAACATTATTAACATTATTTTAACATTATTAACATCATAAACAAATAATATAGCAAACCAAATACAAAGATTATTTTCACATTATCTTTTGGGAATATTGATAGAAAATTGCTCTTCAAAATCAGCAGGTTTCCTTGGTAGGGAATAGTTACGTGACTTTTGCATTGATCCGGTTGATCAATCAATGTCAACTAGGAATCCTTGCAACAAAATATTTCTGAACCATCTTGAGGCTGACCCATCAACACCACTCTGACGAGCCGCTACGGTAAGTTTTCTGCTGTTATAAACAACAACTTTTACCCACTGGTCATTTCACATAGCTGTGGAAAAAGGAGGAACATGGCCCATTTATAGATAATAAAAATGGTGATTTACCTATTTGAAACGGTGCTTGTTCAGTTTGCTACGTCAAATATCAGAGGGTAACAGCAGAATTTACAGCTTGCGCAAAAGCGAGACTGCATCATCCCAAACCCTCGTGGAACTGCCAGCATCCATGACTGCGACCCCGAAATTGCTACTGATCTCAAAGACAGAGAAAGTCGCATAGTCGAACTTTAGGACGCAAAAACATCCAATTTGGAGGTGTATACATATATGAGCAACCGTAAAAACCCCGGCAATACTAAATATGTATTCGACGGACATTGGCTTATGGAAATTGATGGAAATTGTTAAAAACACGAGGTAAGCGATGGGACCTTCCCAAATTAGCGATACCCCTTTTCAAGGTTATGTCATCATATTTCTATATATTTCTCTAATATCCACATTAGCGATACCCAAATATCACATAACATAGACCCGGGCAAGCCGGCGGCGGAAGTTTCCCAAACATAAATGACCTATAGTTCAAAGACAACCTGTCCCGACCGCGTCCTTCCCTCGACAACCGGTTGATTTTTTCAGCGAGAGACGAAGCAAAGTCTTCACACTCCACACTCCACACTTCACACTGCGCTCTTCGCACTCCAAACTTAAACTTCACACTCCACACTTCACACTTCTCACTTCCCACTGCTTCCTTCACACTGCACACTTCACACTGCACTCTTCACGCCCCACACTTCACACTGCTCTAAACCTACGTGCAACAAAAAAACACTAGCGCCAAAATGGAGAAAATCTGCTAACAAATCCATTTCGCAGCCTTCATGCAGCCAGTCCAAGACGATGTACGAGATCCAGCTGCAAAAGACATTAGGCATGCAGCCAAAGCAAGAAGCAACCTTGACGCAGCCATTCCAATGCGATCTGCGGAGACTGAGTTGCAAAACACAAGAGAACTACGCGCAATGGCATCGGAAATTGTAGCTCCAAAACCGGATCTCGACGCCAGAGCGAAAAAAAGACGATTTTGAAGCACTTTTTAAAAGGATTTTAGAAGGAAAATCACTAGCGCCAAAATGGAGAAAATCTGCTGACAAATCACTGTCGCAGCCTTCATGCAGCCACTCCAATACGATTTACGAAGTCCAGCTGCAAAAGACAATAGTATTACGCATGCAGCCACAGCATGAAGCAACCTTGACACAGCCATTACAATGCGATCTGCGGAGACTGAGTTGCAAAACACGATAGAACTACGCGCAACGGCGTCGGAAATTGTAGCTCCAAAACCGGATCTCAACGCCAGAGCGAAAAAAAGACGATTTTGAAGCACGTTTTAAAAGGATTTTTAGAAGGAAAATCACTAGCGCCAAAAACGCATTTCGTGCGAGACTTCCTTCAAAACTCCTTGACGCAGCCATTCCAATGCGATCTGCGGAGACTGAGTTGCAAAACACAAGAGAACTACGCGCAACGGCGTCGGAAATTGTATCTCCAAAACCGGATCTCGACGCCAGAGCGAAAAAAAGACGATTTTGAAGCACTTTTTAAAAGGATTTTTAGAAGGAAAATCACTAGCGCCAAAAACGCATTTCGTGCGAGACTTCCTTCAAAACTCCATCGGCAACTCATCCCACTTGCAATCCCATTTACATTGCGGGAACGATCCTACAGTTGCAAATCACAATGGAATTCTGTCGACCGCGCATGCACGAAAAACACTTGAAACCCCATTTACAATGCGGAACCGATCCGACCATGGTCCGAGAATGATCCGACCATGGTCCGAGAATGATCCGACCACACACGAGACCGTCTCGCACCCGTCGCACCGCAGAGGTAGATCATCGACGTTCGGGGACGCACTTTGCCTGGAAAAACACAGGGTTTCGTGCATCTGCTATCTCTCAAAACCGCATTTCGTGCGAGACTTCCTTCAAAACTCCATCGGCAACTCATCCACCAGCACCACTTGCAATCCCATTTACATTGCGGGAACGATCCTACAGTTGCAAATCACAATGGAATTCTGTCGACCGCACATAGACGAAACACAGTTGAAACCCCATTTACAATGCGGAACCGATCCGAGACCGATCCGACCATGATCCGACCACACACGAGACCGTCTCGCACCCGTCGCACCGCAGAGGTAGATCATCGACGTTCGGGGACGGACTTTGTATGGAAAAACATAGGCTTTCGTGCATTTGCTATCTCTCAAAAACGCATTTCGTGCGAGATTTCCTCCAAAACTCCATCGGCAACTCCTCCACCAGCACCACTTGCAATCCCATTTACATTGCGGGAACAATTTCTTTGCTAACTCTTTCTGTGACTAACTCTTTCCCTCACTAACTCTTTCTTTGACTAACTCTTTCCCTGACTAACTGTTTCTTTGCTAACTCTTTCTTTGACTACCTCATATATCCTGACTAACTCTTTCTTTGACTGACTCTTTCCCTCACTAACTCTTTCTTTGACTGACTCTTTCCCTCACTAACTCTTTCTTTGACTAACTCTTTCCCTCACTAACTCTTTCTTTGACTAACTCTTTCCCTGACTAACTCTTTCTTTGACTAACTCTTTCTTTGACTAACTCTTTCCCTGACGAACTCTTTCTTTGCTAACTTTTTCTGTGACTAACTCTTTCCCTCACTAACTCTTTCTTTGACTAACTCTTTCCCTGACTAACTGTTTCTTTGACTAACTCTTTCCCTCACTAACTCTTTCTTTGACTAACTCTTTCCCTCACTAACTCTTTCTTTGACTAACTCTTTCTGCTAAACTCTTTATGGGAGAACTCTTCCCTCACTAACTCTGTCTTGCGAACTTTTCCCTGACTCTTTCTTTGACTAACTCTTTCCCTCACTAACTCTTTCTTTGACTAACTCTTTCCCTGACTAACTGTTTCTTTGACTAACTCTTTCTTTGACTAACTCTTTCCCTCACTAACTCTTTCTTTGACTAACTCTTTCCCTGACTAACTGTTTCTTTGCTAACTTTTTCTTTGACTAACTCTTTCCCTCACTAACTCTTTCTTTGACTAACTCTTTCCCTGACTAACTGTTTCTTTGACTAACTCTTTCTTTGACTAACTCTTTCCCTGACGAACTCTTTCTTTGCTAACTCTTTCTGTGACTAACTCTTTCCCTCACTAACTCTTTCTTTGACTAACTCTTTCCCTCACTAACTCTTTCTTTGACTAACTCTTTCCCTGACTAACTGTTTCCCTCACTAACTCTTTCTTATACTAACTCTTCTTTACTAACTCTTTCTTTGACTAACTCTTCTTTGACTAACTCTTTCTGTGACTAACTCTTTCCCTGACATTCTAAAAGTCCGTAACACGGAAGTTTCTCCCCCTAAACTTCCTTTGATTATTCATAGTTCACCATATATATATATATAAATACAGCAGTTTCCTGCAAGCGATACCCCCCAAGTTTACCATATATCATTATTGCACAAACGTGTGGTAAGCGATGGGACCTTCCCAAATTTGTGAATGTCCTTTCCGTGAACCTAGGGTTTTCACAATCGCTCATATATATATATACATGTTTAATTATATATATAATAGGTATTATAATATTGAGCCATCGCTGAATAGTGGGTAAACCGTTGGTAGTTTAATGGTTTCATCATGTTTCATCCTTTGCCGCAAATAGTCCCATGATGAGGAGGACTTCAAGTAGCGGTTTGGAGGAGGGGGTCTTAGTATATGTATTATGTATTATGTATTATGTATTATGTTTTATGTATTTTACATACATACATACATACATACATGACATGACATTACATTGCATTACATTGCATACATACTCATCGATTTTTGTGATTATCGAAGGAAGTTTAGAAGTGAAACTTCCGACAATATGGACAGTTGAAAAGCAGAGGTGAGAAGAGTCAGAAGAGAAAAGATCAGAAGAAAGAAGAGGTAGATGCGCGAAAAGATAGGAAAGTCGCGATTCACTGTGTTTTTCCAATGATTTGTGGCTCCGGAGGGTCGAAAAGTAGGCTCGCTAAAGCGGCGGGTGCGGAGCCAGCTGGCAGATGAGACATGAAAAAGTGCACGCCGTTGTGGCGCGAAGCACATTTCCAAGTCAAAATGGACAAAACACTAGAGGAGCGGACCACTTTTGGAAGTTGAGATGTCGAAAAAGTGCACGCCGTTGTGGCGCGAAGCACATTTTGAAGTCAAAATGTACAAAATACCGCAACGCCGGACCACTTTTGGAAGTTGCGATGTCGAAAAAGTGCACGCCGTTGTGGCGCGAAGCACATTTTGAAGTCAAAATGTACAAAACACCGCAACCTCGGACCACTTTTGGAAGTTGCGATGTCGAAAAAGTGCACGCCGTTGTGGCGCGAAGCACATTTTGAAGTCAAAATGTACAAAACACACCATGTTCGGACCACTTTTGGAGGTTCAGATGTCGAAAAAGCGTCGAAAAAGTGCACGCTGTTGTGGCGCGAAGCACATTTCGATGTCAAAAGTGTAAAAAACTGAGGGTTTTGAGCCTTTTTTGACGTGAAGATGTCGAAAAAGTAGACACTGATTAACTTAACTAACTTGACTAACTAACTTAACTAACTTCACTAACTTAACTACCCTAACTTCGACGACAACAGCAACAGCAGCAGCAGCAGCAACAACAACAACAACACCAACCACAACAACAACAACTACAACTACAACTACAACAACAACAACAACAACTACTACACAACAACTACAACTAGAACTACAACTACAACAGCTACAACAACAACAACAACAACAGCAACAACAACAACAACAGCAACAGCAACAGCAACAGCAACAACTACAACTACAACTACAACTACAACTACAACTAGAACTACAACAACTACACAACAACTACAACTAGAACTACAACTACAACTACAACAGCTACAACAACAACAACAGCAACAACAACAGCAACAGCAACAACTACAACTACAACTACAACTACAACTACAACTACAACTACAACCACACAACAACTACAACTACAACAACTACAACTACAACTACAAAACAACTACAGCTACAACCATATGACTGCAACTACACTACACTAATTACATTACACCACAACTACAACTCCACTACGCTACAACTACAACTACAATTGCAGTACATCACACTACATCCAGCAGTTGTGTGTGAGGTGACCACTGCAACCATTGCAACCATTCCAGCAAACACAACTCCAACCACCTTTCGGTCAATCAGTGGCTTCGCTCTGCCATCCCTGATTCACAACAACCAAATTCTCCTATAGGTTTCCTATGTTTGAAACTTCCCCCGCCGCCTTGTGCGGCACTACTGGTATGTTTACTGCAAGAAGCTTTCAACAGATGAAGGGAATGCTAAGCTTCAACTTTTTGCCAGGACGAAGAAATTCCTTCGGAGCAGGGAGTGTGGGGTGTCCTCAGGATGTGAAAAATGGGGGCACCATGGGCTGGAAAAGGATTTAAGTCTGAAACATGACAGGTTTAGTTAAAAAAAAAAACAGGACATGATTTTTGATGATTGTTTGATAATGCACAGTTGAAAATGAAGAATATCAACTTAGCAAACATGAAGACGTACTGTCACGGAGACAACTAGGGCCTCTAACATCAACAGTTGAATCCTTGTCCAACTACAAGAAAACCTGCCGGCCTTTCCGAAAGGGGCTTGGTCAAGACCAAGGTGGGAGGTGCTGTATCGCTTGCAACCGCCAAATTTGCATCGCTTACACCCGCATGATTTGTATCGCTTGCACTGCCATCATGGCTCTGGGTCAGGATCATGTCTACTGATCATTTTCCATGTCATCATTGCCATTGTCATCATTGCCATTGTCATCATCGTAATAATCAACAACAACATCATCATCATCACCACCATCACCATCATCATGAACATCACTATCATGCTCATCACCGACATTTTCATCACCATCATCATCATCATCACCATCATCATCATCATCGTCACCATTGTCATCACCATCACCATTTGAAACACTATCATGCTCATCATTCACATTCCCATCACCAAAACCGTTAGCATCACTAAAATCATCATCATCATCATGGTAATAATTTGTTATTAATAGTAATAATCATCATCACAGTAATCACAATCACTATCATGCTGATCACCACTAGCTCGTGACCAAAATCATTAGCATCACCAAATCATAACAATCATCATCATCAACAACACCATCAACGTCATGGACTTCATATGTGTTATTTTCCTTCGTCATCATCAGCATCATTGACATCATTAAGCTAAGTATCTACGGTAGTATATAATGCCATCTTCAAACTCATCATCATCACCTTTGTTTCCTTCTTCATGATCAGCATCATTGACATCGAAAACCTAAATATCTAGTAAATCATACCATCATCAGAGTCACCATCATGTTCATTACCGTCCTCATCACGACCATCATCATCAAAGCAGGCAGAGCCTAGAGATGACATGATGCACAAAAAACATGCTACCAACATCTGTGTGAAGCAAAGAAACCCTAAAAGTGTTGTAACTGTGTACTTCCTGTGTGAAGCAAAGAAACCCTAAAGGTGTCGTACCTGCTTCTTACACCCTGAACATAAATTGTCGCATCCCCTAGAAAAGGAGTGCTGGTGTAAGTGATTCGAATTTGTTGGTTGCAAGATGTTGTAAGTGAGTGCCTGCGGTGTAAGTGAGTGGGTGGTGCAAGTGAGTCGAATCTGTCGGGTGTAAGTGAGTCTGTAGCCAAGGTGGAACCCCAGTTGACTGAGCCATGCTAGCAGCTAGCAAGAATGACAGAAAAGTACATATATGAATGTAGCGGGTCACATGACCCTTGGATACCTTGAGAATCTCCAAAATTGATCTGAAACTAGTGTTTTTATACAGGAACCCGTTAAAGATGATGATAACAACTGCCATGTTGCGCATGTTCTATCAATCCCTGTAAGTATGCCAGTCCGAAGGGGATACCAATAAGCTGCAGTGGTCCTGCAGAACTCACCTTGGTTCATCAAAAGATGGAAAAAAGACTTGCAAGAAATCCCTACAAGTTGCTGGCAAAGTCTTTGTTTGATCGTTTGGGAGCCCTTTAAATTAATGCGTAGCTAAATGTGTAAACTTGTAAACATATATTTATATTATATATAGCATGTATTAAATAGAGAGACATGTTATGTATATATATATATATATCTATATGTTAAATCAATTGAAATATATAATGTTGGACCATCACTCTTTCCGAACGGCGTCGGCCGAGGCCTGGATTTACAGCTGTCGACTCCCGCCCTGAGGTGCCACGCTGGCAATGAACATTTGTTGGAAAGGTGAAGTGAAAACATCCAGTATATATATATATAAAGCATATGGTATATATATATATATATATCGTTTTTTTGGCGGAATTTAACCAAGACTGTTCATAACTTGATTGCTATTTATGGGACATATGTAGACATATGTATGAATAACCATCCAAAAACTTACAGGAAGGAGCCCCAAATAGTTAGCTAAAAGTTGGTTTGCAACTATAATAACTAGGGCTTATGATGGATCTATAGTTAGATGGGGTTGTCATTACACCTCCGAATCCCATCTCTGGTCTCGTTTCAAAAAGAACTCAAAACAAAGTAGAGTCGCAATAAGTCCAGCTGGATCAGAGCCAAGTTTCGATGTTGAAAAACGCAGGGGTTCTAGTGAGTTCTGACTTTCAGGATGCTAGTATAAAGTATATTGGGTATACATATATATATATATACATATACATATGTATCTATATACATATATATATACATATGTGTCTATATACATATATATACACATATACATACATATACATACACATATATTTACATTTATACATATATATATATATGTATACACATATATATATACATACATATGTATATATACATTTATATAAATCATTGTAAATCTATATAGTGAAAGGTACGGCTGTGTGGGACTCTTTTAAACTCACAATGCATCAGCTGTGGACCCCTCTGGAAGTCCGGACGTAAACAATCCGTTTTTGTTGCACCATATCAAAACCATGGAGAAATATTCACTAATAACCCTCTCTTGAGGATGGTGACTATAGTTATCCCATAATTGTTATCCCACTATTATCCTATATCAATCCACAGTGCGGTGACAACTCAATTCCAGGGGTATATACTCAATTTTATAAGCCCAATTAGGGATGGGTTTGTTGTTGAGTCTACCACTGCTCGAAATGCAGATTTCTTTTTTGTTGTTGAAGTCCCTATAGTTGTCGATGAAATCCATTTGAGCAAGGCTCAGAACACACGTGGATTGATGGAACGTGTGTATGTCTAATGATATGTAACATGTATATAGTTTTATATATATACATATATTGTACATATATATATATTGTACATATATGTATATATATATATTTATATTTATATTATATTCACTTAAAAATAATATGGTGATACCTGTGACTTCATGATGACTTGCTCTCGCCTGCTGCGCCATCTGCGGTTCTTCGCAATCCTCATGGGATAACAAGTCCATCACAGTTTTCATGTGGATATGTTGTGAAGATTTATAGAATGATAATATAATACAATATTATACAATATAATACAATATGAAATATAATGGTATGTAATGTCATATATTTAATAGAATATCATATAATATGACTTAATTGCAATATAATGTAATGTATATAATGTAATATTTTTCATTTATTTAATACGATACAATTGCAACACAATACAATGTAATATATTATAACGCGATAAAATACAATATATAGTATATTTTTAAGAGTATTTCAACTAAAGAATTGAATAGGATATCATATAATATAATTTAATATAAGAGAACATCATATAATATAAATATAAGATAATTATAATATAGCATAATATAATGTACTATATTGTAATACAACTTATAATATAATAATAATTTGATTTAATATACTACACTAGAATATAATTTAGTATAATATAATATAACATTAAAAGAAATGTAATATAACAGAATGTAATTTAACAAATGTAATTTAATATAATATAATGTTTTTTATTATAATTGTAATATGTAGTATCATTTGAATTTAATAAGATATCATCTAGTACAACATAGTATAATTTCATTATAATGTAATTCAATAGAATATATAATAGTATATCAAAATATAATATAAAAAGGTAATCAACTATCCTTGAATATCATATACTTATAAGGTAATATAATATAAACTATGTATTAATATTTAATATATATATATATATATATGATGGTGTAATTTTTATCAGTCTATCCACAATATGAAAGTGTATGGGATAGAATAAGGGTTCATATCATGAAATATATACGTTCATATTGCTGAATCATGCTTAGTAATAGTAATGGTTTAAGTATATCAAAGATGATAAAGATTGCGGGCCGCTGGGAAATATCCCATCAAAATGGAGGTTTGTAGTTGGGAAAATCGTCGAACTAAATGGTGGATTTTCTGTTCTCCCATGTTTGATTACCCCAGGGTAATGCAGTTTTTTGTGTTTGTGTCCGTAAAATTCCCATTGTTTTTTGTTGACGCAATCCTCACGTGTTCAAAGGTTCAATATTGTTCTCTCCGACCTTTTCATGGATAAGATAAGTCGAGTTGTGGATTTTCGTAACAGTTCATTCAAGTTCATTAAATTTCATATTTTACTTCCTGGTTTCCATTCATGTTTCACAAGGAATCGTTATGATTCTCAGGTGCGTAGCGAAGGTCCTCCACAGTGCCGGGATGCCTTGGCTGCCTTGGGTCGGTCCATTGGGTGTTTTCCCCCATGATGTTTCCATTACCCTCTGGTTATTCAATGTACCCTCTGGTAAACTAACAGTTCACTATGGAAAATCACCATTTTCAATTGGAAAATCCACTACAAATTCTATAAATTGCCATTTTCAAGAGCTATGTTAGTTTACCAGAGGGTAACTCATTGAAATGGGCTAGTCTCGCCAAACAACTCACCAGCGGGATCAGAGGGATCATATATCGAAAAGCGGAACTTGCCAGGTCATATTGTGGATGGGTGCGAAATTCTGCACCACCAATCCAGGATGGTTAAAACCCTATATATAAACGGACAAACCACCTATCAACTGGTGCAGGATTTCGCCACCATCCACAGTATGTACATATATAAAATTATATATATATATATTCAAATTCATATTCATATCATTTCATATACATTTGGATAAAGTGAATCAACCTCACTGCGGCGGCACTGGAATGATGATCAGTGTGGGTTATTTCTATCAGAAATTGCGGTGAAGTACGATGATGTTTCTGGGGAAGACCACAGGAAAACTGGCAAACCATGTTTGGGGGATTTGGAACATGATGCCCTGGGTGTCCACAAGAATACATTTGTATACATTCAAATCACCCAAACCATGGCTGAGTATCTCGTAAATCGATGTCTCGGTTAATCAGTCAAAACCGTCACCCAGGGTGGTAATTTGGTTTGATTAACAATACCATGGGAAAATGTAAGCCAAGGGAACAAAACAAAAAGATATGCTGATGCAGTTGAGATGGGACTATCTTTCCGTAATGGCAGCTGTTTGGAGCCAAGGATAGTTAGTATTCCAACTAAACGGATTGCCAAGGAGCCCAATTACCGATCAAGAGAATTGGTTGGCCATATTTATAAGATTTGTGTGGAGTGTCAATAATTATTTTACTCTCAGTTGTTTTTTGTTCCATTAAGACGTATAGTGATATTTGTGGAATGGGGATAACCCTGGATTGATAACCCTCCAGCCGACTTTTGACAATACAATTTTGTGCCTGCAATTAGTAACTGGGACAATACAAATGATAAATATATATATGTATTGTATACGCGTTGTAAAATGGATGAACATGGCTATGTTAAATAAATCAATCATCTACACATGAATATCTTTCCACGGCTATGTCAAATTACCAGAATTGTATACATACAAATTATAAATATGTTTGTTAGTAACCAAACCTGGCAAGGACAGTCACTACTAGACTTGACAATAGTAATTCCCCAAAGATAGAAACGTTATTGTACAGCCCATTAAAATCGTGATGAACTACTGTTCTATCCGATACTCTTGTATGAACATCAGCCATGGTGGAATTTTCCAGTACCATCATGGCTTTCACAAGTTTTCTCATTTTTTCGCAAAAAAAACATGTCAAGTTGGTGAGCAGTTCACTTACATTTCACGGAAGGGTTTCTGGTGGATATATATTTATATATTATATATATAATGGGTTTATAAGCCAACTTATTATAACTTGTAGCTCTTAAGATTTGTAGAAATGGAGCTTTTGGCTGCGAAAAACATCATGCTTCAGAACTAAGATTTCACATTTCGTCACTAGGGTTTATGGTATCATGGGGAGTTTTTGAAGCAACTTATCCATCACTTTGGGTGCATCGCCTGTTTACAGTACATATATATATATAACAGTATATATATACTTGGGGGTGCATCCCACTTAGTAAGGGAAAACTGTTCCCTCATATTGCTAGAACCTTGAAAATACTCCCCTATATATATATATGTGTGTGTGGAATATTCCCAGTTGTATATGGATTATAAACTACTTGCTATCTGAAATGCATATCCAAGTAGGATGGATAGAATATGACATAGAATATGAAAGAGGGCCAACTAGTGCAAAAGATCCAGAAGTCAGACATGGGGAATAGAAACTACTTTCTCAAGGAGAAGTATCGTACTCTGTATGCGGAGCTTCTGAATAGAAATAAAACCGGTCAAGGTCTTGTTCAACCTTGGGCTTTTGTCGGCAGTGGTTGAAAGACCTGCTTGTTCGTTTGCAGCTTGACAATCCTTGGCACTGGCAGGGGCATTGGGCACTCCTTGGCAAACCCAATGCAACAAAGCTATACCTTGGGATACACGGCCTTAACGAGACGGGGTGCAGCTGCAACGAGTGATTCGATAAGGGTCTCGCCTACTTGAACCAATCAGATGATTCCAGATGATTTTCAACTGATGTCTTGGACTTTTTCTCGAACTCGGTAATAAAGGGCATCACAAGCCACGAGATTCAGGTCCCAGAATATGATTTCAGTTATTTTTTCTTACCTAGTGTGTGATTTCCGCTCGTCGGAAATCCACCATAAAATAGGGGGTCTTATGGGAAAATCACCTAATTTATAGGCAATTGCCCATTGCCACGTTTGATTACCGCAGGGTACACACGCCAGTTCAGCTAGTTCAGCCAGAATCATCCCATTCCAAAGATGTGGTTTCATCCCCTACACAACCATGGCTTTCAACCAGCATTCATTCCATTCCCCTAATGATTCCTAATATTTAACTCTTAAACTCCCCATAAACAGTGTCAAGTATACGTGGTTTCATCCCCTACAAAACCATGGTTTCTGGATGTTTCTGGACAGGTGAAGCAGATCAGATTGAGACCTGGTTCTCTGCCGAGGCGAGATGGGAATCAACGGGATGTCAGCTGACTAAACCAAGGAAAATTGTGATGTTTTTTCTTGAGTTTAATAATGTTTAATGGGAATTAACAAGAGTAATGGAACTTCATTAGATATCTATATATATACATAGATTATATATATATTATTATAATTAAAATGTTTGTATATAGTGGAGATATATTCATGTGGAATAGGTATTCAGAAGCAACAATATAAACTACTTGAAAACTATAAATATTATTTGCGGGGTACGGGGCGCCCCAATTTGTTTATGTTGGGCACCAGCTGGTGGCATTGAGACTGATTAGGTCAGGTGTTTCGAATACGAAACCACCATAGGGCCAAGGGGTTATTCACTACGGGGGCAATCAAGAAATAAAAGGTACTGGGGACACCTAAAGATTCGACCTGTGGTATTTTTTTTAAAGCTTGGTCAACTCAGCATGTATGATTTTTTTGTTTATGATGGACTTAATTCATCTGAAAATTCGGCCCTTCAAAGCTGGAAAAATGGGTGGGTTTTCGTGGCACCCTAAACCCAGTTTGTTGCCGGGAGTGCGATGACGACAAACCAAGGATTGAATGGGTGTTCCCTAAACAGGGGGGAAGGGATTCAAAATCAACCTACACTTCTTGAATTCGACATTAAGGGCTACAAATTATAAGTGGATTATGATTGCATTATGATCAGTAACTTTTGTATACCTGATTCTACTAAGAAATCGACCCATCTGAGTACTTCTAGCCTATGACACTTCACCAGCCCCTGCCTTCCGTCACAAGGATAATCCCCGGTGAAGCCAAATCATATGTGGTCGATCATGAGAGTAGCATCAGGACCGATCATCTTGCCTAGTCAGAATGTGAAAAACAATGATAACCAATTTATGGCCCAATACCAACCACTGAACCTACTTCCTTACAATTTGGGCCTTAAAGTTTTATGGAGCCTTCAAAATTTGGGTCAACATCATATTGACTACCCAGACTTCGGGGCCCTGGAGATGTTGGGGTTTGTAGAGCCCTACACCTTTGGGTTTTGGATTTTGTAGAGGATACCCGGCCTGGTCAACTAACAGTTCACTATGGAAAACCACCATTTTTTATGGGTAAATCAACGAACTAAATGGCCATTTTCAATAGCAAACTGTTAGTTTACCAGAGGGTATATCAGGTACCAGAGGGTACTGTTCCTTTATAATATATATATATGGTAAATATTTATATATATATGGTGTATATATATATGGTATGTCCAGCGACTTGGAAGCGATCCGCAGGAAACATTGTTCATCTTTGACTGGGACGACACCGTGTTGCCCTCCAGCTGGGTGCGCCACGATTCGGGGGGACACGACACGTGGATCCCAAAAACCATCGGCTTTCAGTACTAAAATGATCTAATGACTGGATGATGTTTCCGGGGTAGCCAGCATTTTATAGGAAAGCTCCATAGAAAATAATGAGTGTATTAAGTGTATGTGTATGAGTTGCGATAATTATAGGCGAATGAAAAGGCGTATGATCTTAATGATACCTATATTGTCACGCGAATGCTCTAGCGTTGATGCCTGAAATTTTATCCTTGCCAGCCATCAACCGCTGCCACAAATCGTGTGGAATGGCCCTTGAGTTCTGCTTTTTGGTTATAATAGGGCCATGGGGTTAGGGGGTGAAAATCATCAACCACCCAAAATGCAGAATCATCTCAGATCCGCAGAATGACCATCTCAGCCATGAAACATATCCCTGTTTGGTTCATATAGGTGGTTTGTCTAACTGCTTTGTTGGGATTATTGCAAGCCATAGGGATAACCATTGACCAACCAGTAGAATGACACCCCACTGACCCAATTGCCACGGACAATGCATGACCCCGTACCTCTTATTGGAGCGGACCCCGAAATCAAGTGACTACTGGAATGATTTGCCAAAAACCCAGACGTAAGTATTCTCCGATTCTTTCAAAACCGGAGACCTTTACCTCTCCTGTTGTAGAAAGTATCACTGATGAAGACCTATATGCATTTGCAAGGATGGATCAGCATGAGCCCAATGTGACGATTGCCGATGTTCTCGAGTCTCGAGACATGAACACCGACTTGAATGGGTTCATTCACAACATTGATCGGTGGTTTAGATACGGGTCTTTCTCAAGTCTCGAAAACAGACTCTAGATGATGATACCCAATGACTTTCTCATATTTTTCAGGGTGATTCAACCACCCAGAAACAAAATGCTTGACAAGCTCTGACAGTGCGAAATGAGCATGTCATCAATGTAATTCTCATACACAACTTGACTGTATGTTATTGCACACTAATCATCACTTGTATACTTAGTAAAATAGTAAAAGTATAATCTAGTGATTATAAATATAGATTATCATCACCCTTTATTTAATCATCACTTGTATTTTAATCACACTAGTCACTTAAAAAAGGGTGGAAATTGTCGAGTCCAGTCCGAAGGGATGGATTGATGGATTTTCGGTCGATTTCCCCCCAAATCTTCACCGCCTGTATCCAGCCCGCCAGGTTCAAAGTCAAGGCTTGCGCCTCGATGAGAGCTCCTTGGTAACCATACCCTTGTTGTCATCAAACATAGCTGGGAAATCACGGAACATGGAGGTTTAGTTCGCTGGGAACATCCATGGTCAATTTATAGATATAACGTGTGTGTAACTGTGTGTATATCAATGTATAGATACATGGCATCTTGGGTGAGTACTGAAAAAAGCCATTAGGGACTAAAATTGTAATCGGTCGTAGCTTTGGTGGTGAACATTGATCAAGAAGAACTCGGAAAAGTGCCCCAGTCAGCTGTAGATCCTGAGCATTTTTTGTTGATCCTTTGGGCCTTTGTCCCCCATTCACTCTGTTGCCCTTTGTTTGTTCGTTTTATCAGCTGTTTATCCTGTTCAACTGGTCTTCTCTTGTGTCCTTCTTTTTTGCCTGTGCTTCTTTTTTTTGGTTTATTCTGTTCTTCTTCCCTCTTCTCTTCTGTCTTCAATCTAATCAGCCCCATACCGATAACCATTCCCAGTCGCTTCCACGCAATACACCTTTCTCAAACGCCAAACTGCTCCTGAATGTGGCTTTGCACTAAATATTATATATACATATATTTAATGATATGTTAATAATATAAAAATATGTTTGTTTAATATTTAATATGTTATACATGATATATATATATATATATACTATATTATATCATATTATGTATATATTTTAATTTATATATATTATGTTTTATATTATATATATTATATATGTTATATAATATTAAATATATTACATGCTATATATGTTATATATGTTATATATGTTATATATGTTATATATGTTATATATGTTATATATGTTATATATGTTATATATGTTATATATGTTATATATGTTATATATGTTATATATGTTATTATATATATATATTTATGTTATATACATATATTTAAACATATATTTAAATATATATATATATTACATATATAGTAATATGTTTATACATTATATATATATATATATATATTATACATATATATATATTATACATTATATGTGTATATTGTGTTTATATCATATTATATGTATATTATATTATATGATTCTTTATATATATATATACATTAGAGACAGTGACACACACACACATATATATATATATAATTATATATATATATTCAGCCTTTCACCGCTTTCGCAAGCTTTTACACCAAAGATCTCCGGAGCATTTGTTTCATCTTCGGAAGGCGGAGCTGAAAAAAAACCTCGTGATGTTTGGTTCCATGAATCCCATAGTGTAATTATCTGTAAATCATATGTGCCATTGAAATAGTGGATTTACCCAGATATAAAATGGTGATTTTCCATAGTTTTTTGTATGTTTACCAGAACATACCATCTGGTTATTTAACATAGCCATGGTATAGATGGCCCATTTATAGATGGTTTACCTGGGTTTACGTATTAAAAATGGTGATTTTCCATGGCGAACTGTTAAATAACCAGAGGGTACCTCATTCTTTCCCGACTCCTGGAAAAAAAAAAAAACATCATGTTTCCTATACCAAGTTATTTCCTGATGGAGCTCTCATATACATCCCGAAGTACGGCACGCCCGGGCGGCCGGGCGCCCTCCCAGCGTTGGGAGAACAGACCCGGCGAAGAGAACTTGAGGCTCCGAAGTTCTTAACTATCACCGACAACAGCTCTACAAGGTCTCGGGAAGTTTCGACTTTGATGATCCAAATTCATTCAGAACATGGTCAAGACCTATTCGTCACCCTGAATCGCTATCAATCACTATTGCATAGTCACAAATTATCACTATGCATCATTGTCACTATGAATCACTATCAATGAAAACTAATGGTAACAATAAACAATACTATTGATGACTACTATGCATGAATATGCATGATATTTTTCAATGAATACTATTAAGCACTACGATTCATTGGTGAATGCATACTATTAATCACTATTCATCACCCTTCACAATCCAAATCACCCATGAATTTATAATCCACATCACTATGAAAAATTAACTATGTATGCATTGATTCATATAGCTTGAAAGTGATTGATAAGTATGATCATAAGGTCCAAAGTTATTAAACCAACCATCATTCTGGATAATTTTAAGATCTGCAGGGTCAAGATATAGGATTTAACTATCAACAATATCATCGTCACTGAGATCATTGTGTATGGATTCGGGTAATCACAATTTATAGCTGAACTTTGCAGGTTTAATTTCTGTTTTTTTTAGACACAGCTGTGGAAAATGGGCCATAGAAATAGATGATTAAGCTTTAAACATGGGGGTTTTCCATATGTTACCCTCTGGTAATTTAACATAGCTATTGAAAATGGCCCATTTATAGTGAGTTTTTCCATTAAAAATGGTGATTTTCCATAGTTACGTTAGTTTACCAGAGGGTAAGTGGGGGGCAGTGACTTAGTGATTATGATCCGAAACGACTGATGAACAGCCAGTGCGGGATATACAAAGGTATGCTGGTGAACATAAGAATAGCTGATATAGTGGTGTTCACCACAAGTAGATACAAATAAGGTATCATAGATCTTGACTGGTCCCAATATTGTTTGGGTGCGGCGTGCCGCAATCACATGGGTGCGGACATGGTGGAGGTACCTCATGGGTTATTGCATATTTTTCATGGGGACAATGATGGTTTTAACCACGGGTCAACATATCCATGGAAATCCAAAGATATCCAATGATCTCTCATATCATGGTTCTAGCCGGTAGTCTCAAAGCATGTCTTTGTTTCATGACCACCTAGGATGACGCTCCCAAATTGACGTAGTTTCGTTCAGATGGGTTGAAAGCAGCAACGAGCGGTTGGCTTTACAACAATAGTTGGTTGGTAAAAAACATAAAAGTCATAAAAACTAACTGTACATCACCTGCAAAAAACATCAAACAGTAATTTAAAATTTTATCAATAATTATGTATCAATATGTATCAATATGTATCAATATGTATCACTGTTTCAGATGTTTGAAAGTAGGATTTTCGTAGGATTTTATACCAAGCTCCATCTTGTCTTGCGGGCGTTGCACCGTTGCACCGTTGCACCGTTGCACCGTTGCACCGTTGCACCGATCAGGTGGCCACAGCCGCGGCCGAGACCTTGCGCATCGCCAAGCAATTGGGGACGGTGCCTCTCCGGGGAAGTTCCCGGGCTCCCGGTTGCTGACGTCATGGATGTTAATGGAATCCATTAGTGGATGTCAATGGATGTTAATGGAATCTGAATGAATTTGAGGGGATTGGGATTGAATGGTGAGTTCAATGGTGTATAGATCTTTATAGATACATCGAGCTAGGTCATGGGGATGAATAGATTATAAGAAAGAAAACTGACGGGCCTCACCTTGTGTCATATTCACAAACTAACGGATCAAATGTACATGTGCATAAATTATTTCAACTTCAGATTCGTTGTATCTTGACTGAGGTACGCGCCTCGCATTTGACCCTACACCAATGTTTTCGCATATGACCCTACCCCTGTTCTGCGGTAGGGTCGAATGTGATAAATCGCTTGTTTAGCTTGCGAAAAAGAGCCATGTACACTGATGTCTTGCGCGCGGGGCGATGTCTCGTTTGATCTCGTTTGTAGGTCCTACATTTGCTCGCTTGTAACTCCAATATGTATTCGCGAGTAACTCGAAAATCATCATCTTCATCATCATCATCATCATCATCGTCGTCGTCCTCATCATCATCATAATAAAAATAAATATTATAAACATAATCATCATCATTGTAATAATAATCATATTCATCATCATCATCATGATCATCATTATCATCATGATCATCACCGTATTCATCATCATCACCATCATCATCGCCATCATTACGTTCATTATAATCGCCATCTACATCATCATCATCATCATCATCATCATCATCATCATCATCATCATCATCATCATCATCATCATCACTATCACACCCATCCCACCCTACCTCAGCCCCAGGCCGGAGCCAGGAGAAGAAATGATAGCGTGGCGTCATGTTGGTGTGCAAGTGAACGTCAACATCCCACCCCACCCCAAGCCTACCCCACCCTGCATATAGGTGTGCCATCCCCAAAGCCAAAGTGGAGGTAGGGTCGAATGTGAGGTGTTTACCCTTGACTGACTTGACTTGAAAGTTATCCCGATCTGGCATCCTGCAAGTTAAGTTGAAAGCTGTCTTGCTATGGGATCAAATGCTTTGAACTTTAGACATGCTGTAAGAGTTGATATGAGATCAGGTGCGAAAAAAAAACAACCTCTAAACTTCGAGGCAGTAACTCAAATTTCAAATATATATAGCTTCGACGGGGTATAACCGACCCATGGCGCCATGGCTTCACTGCGCCTTCATGGCGCCATCGGCTGCAGGTTGTGCTCATCACCAACGCTGAGAGGGGCTGGATCGAATTGAACCTTGGCCATGGGAAAATCACGAGAAAATCATGGGGAAATGACGAGAAAACTACGAGAAAACTCAGTTTTTAGTTCGGAATTTCATGGAATTTCCCAAGAGTTGTCTTGAAATCCAGAAAAAAATGGTCCTTTCTCTCCGAACATGGAGATTGAGTTTACCACTATAGTGTAGCACTTCTTGCCTGAACGCTTGTTGGTTTATAATTTATGGTAACATGCGGAGTGATGCCTGATCTCATGACAGTTCTTGCAATCATTCCAGGAATTATTCGATATACAAACCCCACCCCCAAACCAAGCACTATATAGCGCTATATAGTTGGCATATATACTTGTGAGTTCTTGGTCACTAAACAGCCGCACTTGAATCTGAGGAGTTGTCAGAAGTTCTTGCCCACTCTGTTTCCAGCCCTGGAGAGCGTTAAGGTTGGGACAGCTGGATGGTGCTCGACTTTCCACGGTTGGTCTAGCGGATGATGCCCCATAGCGAAGTTATTGAACATGATTCCAATAAGTACCCTCTGGTAAACTCATAACTATGGAAAATCACAATGTTTGATGGGAAAATTCACTGTAAATGGCCATTTCGAATAGCTACGTTAAATTACCAGAGGGTAGGGTTTATGCCCCAATTCGGAAGCGCTAAGTTAGTGACCATACCTGCAAGACCTAGTTGCAGAAAACAAAAACTGCCATTGGTCACTGTATGTTTGCAAGACAATAGCGCCACTGCCCCAGTTGTCACTCGAATATCGGTTGGGTTTATGGAGGTTGAATCGAACCAATTAATGGGGACTATAAGCCAACAAACATAAATGGGGGGTACCACTCTGTATGATTTGTTTTCTTCCACAAGCAGAAGCTCATCATATTATGAATCATATCATTCTAAAGAATAGGAGTTTTGTGCAAAACGTGTTACCACTAGCCATTTAAAGTTAAGTTTTGTGCCTGCACTATCTTGCTTGGCATTGCTTGGCATCCAATCTGATATGACCAGGACTGGCCTGGCCCCCTTGGGTATCCCACATCCGAGGGATCCCATCCATGACATCCTGCTTCGATAACCTACTTGGACAGGTGCTGTCTGCCAGGACGACCTATGAAAATTCTTGCACGTCGCACCTCGTCAGTGATTTCGGGGGTGAATGTGCAGGAGGCAAAGGGTGATGCCGACGAAGGGCATACAGTAATTATGACAAATCCTGAATGCTTTTTGTTTGGTTTCTATATGTTTCTATGATACTTTATTGGGATTGTTTTATGATCTCAAACAAGCTCACCATGAATATGATCATGAACGGTGGATTTTAGGGGTATATAACGGTGTGTATAAATAATATACATTAATATACCGTATACCCAATTATTGGACAAACCAGTATTTCTATGATTTTCTATGAGAAGACATGATTTCAGATGATTTCCATTTTTGGTGCGGGTGAAACATGGCTTGAAATGGTGGTTGCTAGCGGGGATAAAATTCCCAGTGACAATGGAGATTGATGTCAGAAAGGCAGCAAAACGCCAAAGATCGCCAAAGACTGTCACTAGACATGGCGTGGGGAGTTACAAAATCATCCTCAGTTCCAGACGATGTGTCCAGGTATGTTAAGGTTCCAATGTGCCATCCTTCAGATCTTGTGATCCAGGTTCTTTAGTAGATCCACCAAACATAATAGAATATCATAGAATCATTCAAAATATTTTGAAGTCCACATGGTGAAATATGATTTTTCGAAGTCGATAGCTTTCCCATGTGAAATTCGCTTTCTCGGCTTCTTGGTGAAACCCTGATTATGTGATGCTAAAAAACGACACTGGCCCTTTTTTGTTCCCCATAAACCAATCCATTGAATGCTGGCAAGTGTTTTTTTTAAACACAAATCAGAGTTTCTAAGATTTGTTGATGATGGGAAAAACAAACAATGTTATTTTTTTTAATATTGAACTTTGTTTCAAAACAGTGGATGTGGTTAACCCCCTGTATGGAAAAAAGAAACGGGATCTGTGAATGACTCACTACGCAAGACGTTGCGTGGGTGTACTTGGGGTCACAAGGTAGTTCCAACTCAACCTGTGTTGACTCTCATTGTTTGATGCAATTAATGTTCAATATGTCTCGTTTGACCAGTCCGTTGAACATCGTGTGTAGATGGTATCACTTACAATTCATTGTTTTCCTGCATTTATATATAGATAATTTTCCGAAAGGGTTTCCCCTGTGGGTTAATATTTAATATCCATTTCCTGCAAGGTGAGGCCCCCCAATTATAAGTTGGTTTAAAAAAACATAAACTAGCTCGTTATATCCCCCTTAAACCAAGCCGGGCCCTCACCTTGTGTGGGGGTATCCCTTAAGTGACTAAAATCTATGGCCAAAATGACTATATACAGCACATAATTACATAGTGACATACAGTAGTCATAATTTCATGCTATAATAATCATTAGTCATTAATATAGAGTCATGATCACTATAGCGATGTAAAAATATGCCTTAATATACATGGTGTCATTTTGTGTCATTAATTATATGGATAATGTCCAATTTATCGATGATAAACATTATGATTTGCCTCTCGAACATTGTAATTTTCCAGCTTGCAAACTGGACAATCATAACCAGATGGTAAATCCCAATTTCCATCAATTTCCCAGTTTCCCAATAGTCACTTTTGACCCACTATTGTAGGATTTATCCAGTACCACATTGCCACATGATCATTCACCCCCATGATATGGAGGTTTCCTAAAATGGCGGTACCCCCCAAATCATCCAAGTCATTAGACCTTTTCAGTATTGAAACCTATGGTGACTTGGAGATCCCCATAAGACATCCCCATGTATCCCCCAGCATCACCATTTTTATAGGTGGTATTTGCACCATTCCCAATCATTTTGCCGTTTATGGCATTGTTTTACCCACATTCAACGGCCATAAAAACAGCCGAAAAACCAACATTTTTGTTGGTCCATAGCCATAAGCACAACGTGGGAAGGGATGCACCTGTGATCCCTGTTGGAGGTCGCCGTTGGACTGGAAGGTGAACGCCTTTGCGGCGGAAGTGTCGCGCGTCTACGGACGTGGTGACAGGCGTCAAACAACGCCGGCCGGAGATCTCGCTGCTAAGCGAGTGGAATTTCATGGGATTAATGGGATGTTAAATGATGATAATCACAGCGCTAAATTTATCACTTGGATTTTTTTTCGTATGAATCAGTTTTATGGATTTCAAAAGATTATAAACATTGGGTAAAGCTGGATCCGCACTGGGAAGATCGGTGCTTCTCGTCACTGGAATGATGCGCAAAAGGATTGGTGTGCCCAAAAGAACCACATTGCAGGCTGAAAATGCCGAACGGCATTTTCAATCAGTACCCCCAGCTGACCTGCTGCGAGTTCTTTGCAACTTGCATTTGCATTGCATCGATGCTTAAAATACGCATCTTAAAATCAGTGGTGCTTGTCGAAATCGGATCAAGGCCTCCCGCTGAGATGGGCGGGGGCAACAAGGGTAATTGCAGCAAGGCAAAGGGAGGCGGAAATCCAGTTGAAAACTGGACACAAATCAGGGAGAAACTCAAATATGGTAGAAGGAAGAGGCGGCAAAGATGATGACGCAGTTTTGGAGAAGTGTCTCGCAAGCTCAGCAAGAACCTTATTCGCTTTTAGCCGGGTAGTAGCTTTCATTGCAGCTGAAGGAAAAAACACATATTTCAGGTTGTTGTTTTTTTGCATGTATCCAGATATCATGGGTAAGACAAATGGATGGTTGGTAGGTCAATAATGTACACCATAAGCTGATTATGGCTAGTAAAAGTTGATGACCATGGATTTTGTCCTCACTTTTGTATGTGCCACGGACAAAAAAAGGTAAATAGATGTAAATGGATGATTGCCCCAGTTGTTGGGGGGAGGGTCATCAATCTGTCAACAGAGATTTACATACCACGAGTTCTGTTACAATTTCAATTGTGGGATGAACAACCATATCCCACAAACAATGTTTTGACCATGGCACATATAAATACATATAAATACATATAAATACAGAAGTACATAGAAATACATTGAAATACATAGAAATACATAGAATAAATACATTTAAATACATTCATATATATATAGAGCATATATACATGTTCATTTATGGAATATCACCAGTTACATGAGTGTGCTACAGTGGCTCATTGACTGCTGGGGTCTACCCCAGGAAGCCTTAGCCATGAACATTTTGCTGGTGGGGATGTATACTGACCAGTCCAGTTTTCCTGCGTCCAAGATTGACCATGGATTTGACACTGCAAACTTTGCCATTTTTTTTACTCACCGTCTAAATATGTCTAAATGTTTGAGTAATCCACAGGATATGACCTATACTTGGTGAATCTATCGGAAACATATGGAAACATGTTTGATGGTGCCTGAACCAAAATCCAAGTGTCTAGTTGGTAGTACTTGTCAAAATGTCTGGGCTTGCGGGACAAGTAGAGAGATGTTGCGGTTGAGTACATATATATATATACTATATACATATATTATATATAATATACACTTGTTACATATGTTTTTGGGTAACCTGTATTTTGATCCACCTAGGGCCCTATCTTTTTCCGAGTGAACATTGGTGTTTACCACATAATCCTTGGACGTTTATTAGAGACGTATGCATCGGGATATGAAGGGATACTAGATTAGCCGTCGTTTTGGAAGGACGTAGAATGATATATTTGAGCATGGTCATGTTTGAAGATTCGCCATGGACGTAGAATGAAATAGTCTGAGATACTCTATGTGTAGATATATATATATATAATATATATATATATGTAATGTCAACCCTGGATTAATAAACCCTAAACTGCTGTTTAATTGGGAGGGTACCATTTAAGTATCAGATGAAATGACTATTGGAGGAGTAGCCCCTAATTATATAATACACCATGGTTTATTAATCCGGGGTTTACCATTTTTAATAGGTAAACCATCTATTTCTATGGGCCATTTTCCATGGCTATGTGAAATAACCAGAGGGTATGTATATATATTATATATATACATACATATGAGTTGCATCGGGGTATCATGGAATCTCCCAACATCTGAGAAAAACTAAGCCCGGAGACCCAGGATATCATGAAACGTTCGAATGTTGGAAACATCGATGAATGACCTGCTGGTTCGAGTAACAAAAACCATATGGAAAATCCATGGGAAAGCCATAGAAGACTATAGAAAGCTAACATTGATACGGAACATTCACAATTTGTAGATCATTTCTGAACCAGAAAGCCATGGATAGATTTAGTGCTGTGTTAGTTTACTGAAGGAAAAGACATGTTTGGAATCTTTGGGTAGTGGTGTTAGGTTTCAACTACCCGTAAATTCCATCGGTGAATCATCTTTGTCCAATTGAGAGATAGCCAATTGTTGGGGTATGCCATGTTTTTTTTGGCAACCCCCAAAACGAGTTAAAAAGATAGAGACGTTTTTCCAGAATGATGTAATTAGATGATGTTTCCCCCATATATGCCAGAGAAACCCATTGATTAGATGTGTAATTCTTCCTTCGAATATTTTCTACGTCCCGCCCCCCAAATAAAAAGAACTAGAGGTAGTCTAACTCTTATTTAGGTAGTGCTTAATAATGTTTAATAGGAAGAAAGGATGAAACCATGGAATGGCTACCTACGATGATCTAAGGTCTTGAAAAATTCAACCCGACCCCAAAAGGTGATCGTCAGCACCTCTGGGGCGTTTCCTCCGTTCACCAGGAATGATAGCCATAGATAGCCGTTGTGTCAAAATAAAAGCTCGGAAGAAAATAGAACTATACTTGCCTTAGCCCTAAATGTTTGTGGTTCTTGGTTTATTGATTTGCAATTCAATAAACTGTTGTTGTTCCTGAATGTTTGTGGTTGTTGACTAAGATTGCCTTAGAAATAAAGCCCTGCATAAAGCCCTGTTGGGTGGCTCCACTGGCACTCCCATATGTCTGCGAGGCGCAAGAACATTCTGTCGTTGGGGGACAGCAGCATGGATGAAGCACTGGGCAACTCTCGGGTTGGAAAAAAACTGAAGAGCGAAGTTGGTGCAAGTTTAACAGCTGAATTCTATGGTTTATGAATGCTTCTGGTAAATATAACAATATGATACTGGTATATAATATTCTTAAGATTGCCTTAGAAATAAAGCCCTGCATAAAGCCCTGTTGGGTGGCTCCACTGGCACTCCCATATGTTTGCGAGGCGCAAGAACATTCTGTCGTTGGGGGACAGCCGCATGGATGAAGCACTGGGCAACTCTCGGGTTGGAAAAAAACTGAAGAGCGAAGTTGGTGCAAGTTTAACAGCTGAATTCTATGGTTTATGAATGCTTCTGGTAAATATAACAATATGATACTGGTATATAATATTCTGAAATCTATGGTTTATGGATGTTTATATGGGTTTATGGTAGATATACTATGATGATTCTATGATAAAATATGATATATTTATTTATCTATATTTACCGGGTGTCTAAAGAAAAAACTTAACTGGGGAGCCTCACCTTGTGGTAAAACATATGGTTGATAAGCTGTTCTTGTTGATGAACTTGGTTTATCACCTCGTAGAAAGACACTTAATGTTCATATATAGATGAATGGTACGGCCAAAAATGAACTTGCTTGAGGGCATCTATGGTATGTTATATATCTATATAAATCTAAATGAATTTGTACTATGAGTAGCTATTGAAGAGCAATGGTCTGATTGGATGTGCCAAGGCCTGTGCATTGCGGTATGTTCGACATTTACGACAAATGCAGAGTTTGAATGCCAGATGGAACATCTTTGAATATGTTTCATGCCAACCAGAGATTAACAAACAAATAATACCGAGCCAAGGGCGTACTGTTTCTTGTTTCTTAATCTCTGGAGCCAGTCGGTAATGTTTTTTTCAGTCGGCATGTCGGATGGGAGTTGGCATGGGGATGTCACAACGCACAACGCGATACCCGAGGGTCGTATCAACCACTGGATATCTCACCAATCCAAAAAGGTTTCTTTATCCACAAAGCATAGGGAAATGACCAAGAAATTAGGCCAAAACAGCTAGGTGCAAGATAGTACAATTCACAACTTAGATCCTCAAATATACCCATGCAATCCCACAGAAATAGTATATTAATGCGTTTTTTTTGGCATTTTCTACAATGTTTCTCGTAGAGTTCCCCAGGTATCTCCCGGCGAAGACATCGCTGAGGTGTACATGAGCGCGAGGCCTTATTGAGGTCCACATCACGGTTGCCGAACTGCAGGTGTACGCGGGACCCTGTTGAATGCCCAGGTTCGTCTTAGTGGGATTAGTTAAAGTTATAATACCCATATGGGGATGGGTCAATACCTATTATAACCATTTTTAGGGGGATGAACATCCATTTACCAGCTATTTTGATGTTCACCAGGGGTACAAGGTTTTGACACACTGCCATATGAATTCTTTTGAAGATGTTCGAAAATGCGGGGACAGCCAAAAATCCTTCATGGGAGAATGATAAACATTGATGAAGCATGTGATGGAATGGTGATACTCTATTTACCATTATTAATCAATCAACCAATGTATTTTTCAGTCAAAGCATGTCAAAGCCATATATGACTGGGCTATTCGACGTTCGTCCAAGTGCCGGCCCCAGCTTGGTGATGTTTTTGCTTTGGAAACATATCTTGTACATTTTGAAAACAACACCCTAATACAAACATGGTGGAATCGCAATTCCCTCATAGTTCAAACAAGGTGTTGCAGGGTTGGCAGTGGGATCAATGGGTATAACTATGAATATTATCCATGAATATATATTCTATGAATATATATATATATAATAACTATAATAGTTTTATTTATATTTAATTGTTAATTATAATAGTTATATTTATAATAGTTATATTTATAATAGTTTTATTTATAATACTTATATTTATATAGTAATTCATATGAGGCCTAATATATCTACAAACTGGTTATGCCCTCATCCGCGCAAAAAGGGCACCTAAACAAGGAGCCTGTTTCTACAGGATTTGGCTGCGCAGGTCAGTATGTATTGGGATAATATAATATGGAATATAGAATAAATACTATATAATATAATGTAATGTAATGTAATATAATGTAATATAATGTAATATAATGTAGTATAATGTAATATAATGTAATATAATGTAATATAATGTAATATATTATATATATATGTTTCAATATAATATAATATATAATATAGTATATAATATAATATAAATCACAAAATAATATATAGTCTAAAATAATCTAATATAATATAATGTTATATGTATAGATTATATTATATATATACATTATAAGAGAAATATATTATTGTATTATATTATTTAATTTTTAATAGGTATAATTTATAATATATATATAGAGATTCAGGGAATCAATTGTATATATAAGGGAATTGACCAGAAGAAACGGATTGAGAAGCCTAAAATAATGGGATTTATAACCTACTTGGGGGCGCCGTTGGGGTTAAAGAAATACGTATGGCTGTGGTCAGAACCTCCATAAGTTAGGATATAACTCCTATAACTATGTATGTATATCCACTTACAACTCGAACTGCACTCCCAAATAGAAGCTAACAAAATGACCATGATCATAAAGAAAACGAGGATAACACATCATATTATATCATATTAATAATAATTAATGATGATTGACAGGGACTAAACGTGACAATTAATTAACTATTATGATGATATTATAAATGCTTAACTATTAATATCAATCCTATGAATTTAATATTTAATAGTATATCAATTAATGTGTGATTATTCATACACAAAATTTACAAAATATCAGTATTAATTGTGATTTAATCACGCAATATATCAATTAATCACATAATCATGACAATATATTATTTAATTGTGTCACAGAACAAATCACAATCCGGAATCCGCAAGTTTCAGGTGAGTGTCATTTACCCAGGGATCATTGGTTATATCCCAATGATATCCCCATAGACTGCTTGTTTTTATCCACAAAAACAATCAAATTGTCCGTTTTTCGTTGGTTAAACCTCATTAATCACTATTAATCACAAACCATCTACTCATTCCTTAAGGGACTATGAAAATGATCCCCATTAACCATTAGTCATATGTAGTAATCACTATTAACCCATGTTTTCACCATAGGGGTGGAGCCCAAAGTCTTCGGCAGGTCCAAATCGCTGAAGTTTGTGGAACGTCCGGACAGGGCGAGTTGCGGGCGAGTTGTATCTGGGAGATTTGTGGAACGCTCCACTGGACCAACTGGTTACCCTTTGGTAATTTAACATAGCTATGAAAAATTACCATGTTTGATGGGTAAATCAAATATTTCTATGGCCAGTTTTAATATCTATTTATGTTAGTTTACCAGAAGGTAGCTGCAATTACTTAGACACAAAAACTGGGACATACTGGGAGAAAACTTCAGCTCCAACTGGTACTGAAAAATACTTTTGGAGACGTTCAACCAACTGGTTAGATACTAACTAGGACTTTAATATTTTGCGATTACAATGGTGAACTGTACGAACCAGCTAACATTTTTTTTTAGCACGTATCTAAGATTCGCCGATTCACCATGATAAAAAGTGATGATGATGTAAATGAGTGAAAGTATGTGAACGTTATATATATATATATATACATATAATACATGATAATACACATAGTACATATACGTATACATCCGTATAGTCTATAGTATGCAGCATTTTGTTGATGGAATAAGAACATACAGTTGTTTTCTAAAGATTTTGTGGCCATCGATGTGATTTTTTTCAGCTGTTTGGAGGCAAGGATGGTGATCATATTCTGATTGGAGTCCGATTCCAGCCTGGATCTATTCATGTTTGCTTCGCACACAGGTGAATATGATCGGAGAATGGGATTTCAACTTAAATGATATCTGCTTATTCAAAGTTCAATATGGAGGTTTCCTAAAGGCTGGTACCAGAAAATTCATCAATGTTATTTTCGGATTGTCCATGAAACAAGCCATCCAGCGAGCTTGGGTACCCCCATGACTATGGCAACGATGCTTCAGCGGAGATGATTCGAGGGATTGTCCGACTGGCTTCATGGCTCTGGGCACCAAGATGGTCTTCCCCAGTGAAATGTTGGTTTGTTCAATAGACCCCATCCAGTTCGGTATACCTACATATACCATAAACCCAACGGGTATGTTAGTCATAAACCAACTTAGCTAAAGAACTGGGGCATCACCTTTTACCACAGTTGCTAGAAACCCTTGGTGGCCAATTTCGACAGGACATTTCCCAGATTTGCAAGCAGCACACCCTTGTTTGCAGTTGCTTTGAAAAAATTGTGGCCTAGCTTCAAAACATGTGGGCTTTGGCAGTTGGAGGCCGAACTTCAGGAAATCATCACCCGAAACAGTCGGTTTGGTCTATGTATCATCCCTTCTATTTACGATTACTATCATCCCTATTATTTACTCCTATTATCATCCCTATTATTTTCTACTATCATTACTATCATTACTATTATTACTATTACTGTTGTTTTTGGTATTTACACTTTCAACTTTTAAGTGGAATCCCCTCTGGGCTTCGGGGAATTGGTGGCTCGAATTGCCCAAGTTGACAAATGTTTCTGGAGAATATATATATATATATATGTACAATATTGCGACCACCAAAAGTGGTGGATGATGTAATGCTATAATATTATAAACATATCTGCATTATATACATGGAGGATCTTAAAACCAGTGTTTTGATGATTAAAATTTGTGATTTTATCACCTTTTTGCAATGGAAAAATGGCCCCATGTGTAGACAACAAAGCCCCAGACGAAGAAATCTTTCAACATCAGATTTTAGGCTTTCATGGTTTAGATTGCATGGATTCTGGGATCAATCCGCTATATTGCTTGAAATGATGTCAATCATCCATCAGCGGATCTTGCCATTGGGGATTACCATGCCATCAGCAATCTTAAAAACCCATCACATAACTATCATATCCCAGTAATATAGCCCCTCCCATCAATCTCTGAATTAACAAGTAGTTCATGCCGATTCACATGTGTTGTTGCTTTTCATCGCAGATAGGCGCGTTACCTATCCACATCTATCCGCAAGTCAACAGATTTTCTTTGGGGAGGTTGGCGACGGATATCAACCAGTTACCCACACCATTACTGCGTCACCACTTACAGAGTATTTGCCAAGAACAATTCTGGGAGTGTTTTGTTAGGCAATGTCGTTCATCCCAACGATTGAAGGGGGGTGGATGACACAGCCTACATCATCCTAGGCGCAGCCACCACGCTCCCAGGTGCACCATGATGGTAATCTCGACCTTTGCATCAAATGTGCTTGATCCAAGTCACGTGGACCAGCCAGCATCGGCCAGATCTTCGTGCTATGATTGCTATGTCCCGGGGGAACCCGAAACGGCAGAATCATCACCAAGATGAAACGTGGTGAGGATGAGAAATATTGAGAAATGGGAGGTTTTTTTGGAAATCATATGGTGAAGAAATTAGGGACCTGGGTTTCGGTCAGGAAGAAGCTGCCATTGAGTAAAAGATGTGGCTTCAGACCTTGAATCAATCTGTTGATATCTTTTGTATGTTGCTGAAACTTTTGCCAAAGCAAGATTTCAAATATTGCTTGGCTACCCTTTCGTTAACCACAAAGACTGGTAAATTCTAGGTCACCGCCTGAAAAGTAGGGTCAAAAGAAACACGTGCTTCAGCGGTCTTCAGGTCTGGATACTTGTGTGAAAGCCATTGGAAATGCATTGGACAAGCTCCAAGAGTAGCTGTTGGAGCCTCCATTCTGAATTCCGCATGTGTTCTTTTTCAAAGGCTTGATTTTTCAGGGAACATCTAGAGGAACCCATGGTTTTACATGTGTTCACCAACTCTAGGGATATCCCCCCGAATTTCCCCATAAATTTTGGTTTATGCATTGACATATTTTAACTTGCAACCTTATTTTGAAGAATGCCGTACTAATCATATAGTAGATGTATGTAATGTAGATGTGGATTCAATTGGGCTCCAGTTTAAAATTTGAAAACTTGAGGTTGATGTTTACTATATATATATGTATATATGTTTTCTTGATCCAGAATGCAATGATGATGATGGTTTTGGGCTCCCCGACTTGCGAGCCATAGCTACTTCCCTCTGACTGAGCCGCGTTGCTTCGAAGTGCTGCAAATCCAAAAAAGACGGAGCCAAAACGTTTGTTAGTGAGAAACACAAAAGGATTACCCTCTGGTTATTTTACATGATTTTTCCATTAAAACCTCCATTTATAAGAGATTGTCCATGGCTATGTCAAATAACCAGAGGGTATATAATTCAATCTCTTGTTCACAGTTGGATGACAATTTCTGGAGTTGTTACCATCGTACACTATGTTTTTCATGTTTTCATATTGGTTGAACTGCATCAGAAGACGGTCTTTGCAAACAATGCCAAACTGCTAAACATTGTATATTACATTTGAGTTTATTGAAATTATTGTTTTAAATTGATTACACCACATATGTGTATACTGATTATATAATTATATATAATATAGATGACACTGGCTGAATTATGCCGAAGTGAAGGTTAGTAAGGTAATGATCCCGAAATCACTCAACATTTTAGGTTGGCGAAGTATTTTTTTTTTCAGCCAGACATATCTCTTACCCTTAGATTATAGGGCAACTCCTTTTGTTTTGGGTGAATTGAGCATCTGCTAGGTTCTGGAAGATGCTTCTCCTCTCATATACCTTTTTCATCCTTTTTCCCGAATGCGTAGCAAGGGTTCCCATTTCACTCTGGGGGTCTGGGGGTTGAGGGTGTGTTCGCTCGACGTTGCGTTCGCGTCCGCAACCGTCCGCAACCGTTCGTGCGATCCCCGTATGGCCGTGCCTATGGTAAGTTCTGCAGGAGGTATCATTTTTGACGGTTTCAAACGTCTCGTTGCTTCGTTTCGCGTGGCAGGCGTGGCACTTTGTGACATTCAGACGTGTTTTGCAACGTGTGGAAAGTCGTTTTGTGTGGCAGGCGCAATACTTTGCGACGTTTTCAGAAGATGCGTGGCAGTTTTCGTTGGCAGGCGCAGCACTTTGGACGTGTCCATCGTCATTTTGCGTGGCAGGCGCAGCACTTTACACGTGTCGCGTTGCGTGTTTTTTGCAAATCGCATTGGCAGGGCTGCGTCAAGTGGCGACAAGGTGCAAATTCTGTGGCAGGCGTGGCATTTTGTGACATGTGCTGAAAATTGATGGAAGCCTCGCACGAAACATCGATTTTGATGTTACAAAATTTAGAGGTTCCTACGAAAACTCGTAGGAAAACGTTGATTTTGAAGCTACAAAGTGTGAAAATTGGAGGAAGTCTCGCACGAAATGCTCGTTTTAGTGCTCCCACCTGTCTCGTCTCGGGTCACTGGTTTTCTGGTGGCTTCGCCGTATCTATGGGGGAAGCTGCAAAACATGTCCTTTCGGCATGTTTCAAACTGTGAAAATTGGAGGAAGTCTCGCACGAAATGATGGTTTTGCTGCTCCCACGTGTCTTGTCTCGAGTCTCTGGTTTTCCTGTGGCATCGCCGTGTCTATGGGGGAAGCTGCAAAACTTCTTTGTTTCGAAGGTTTCCAAGCAGGTTGTCATGTCGTTTTGCGTGCCAGGCATGGCACTTTGTCACATTCCAACCTGTTTGATAATGTGTTGAAAATGTCAAACTTAGCGGAAGTCTCGCACGAAATGCTCGTTTTGCTGCTCCCACGTGTCTCGTCTCGAGTGTCTGGTTTTCCTGTGGCGTCGCCGTGTCTTTGGGGGAAGTTGCAAAACTTCTCCTTTTCGAAGGTTTCCAAGCAGGTTGTCATGCCGTTTTGCGTGGCAGGCGTGGCACTTTGTGACATTCCAACCTGTTTGATAACGTGTTGAAAATGTCAAAAATAGAGGACATCTCGCACGAAATGCTCTCTTTTCTGCGCCCACGTGTCTGGTCTCGAGTCTCTGGTTTTCCTGTGGCGTCGCCGTGTCTATGGGGGAAGCTGCAAAACCTCTCCTTCGAAGGTTTCCAAGCAGGTTGTCATGTCGTTTTCCGTGGCAGGGGTGGCACTTTGTGACATTCCAACCTGTTTTATACCCCGTCGAAAGTTCTTTTGTGTGGCTGTCGCAACAATGCACTCCACACTCCTCACTTTACATTCCACACTCTACACTTTCCACTCCACACTCCACACTCTACACTTTACACTCCCTCACTCCCTCACTCCACACTTTACACTCCACACTCCTCACTTTACATTCCACACTCCACACTCCTCACTCCACACTTTACACTCTACACTCCTCACTTTACACTCCATACTCCATACTCCACACTCCACACTCTACACTTTCCACTCCACACTCCACACTCTACACTTTATACTCCACACGCCACACTCCACAATTTACACTTTAGACTCCTCACTCCACACTCTACACTTTACACTCCACACTTTACACTCTGCACTGTACACTCCTCACTCCACACTCCACACTTTACACTCCACACTCCACACTTTACACGCCACACTCTACACTCCACACTTTACACTTTGCACTTTACACTCCTCACTCCACACTTTACACTCCACACTTTACACTCCACACTCTACACTTTACACTCTAAACTTTGCACTCCACACTCCTCACCCCGCACTCCACACACTACACTCCACACTTTACACTCCACACTCCACACTCCACACTTTACACTCCACACTCCTTACTTTACACTCCGCACTCCACACTCCAAACTCTACACTTTCCACTTCACACTCCGCGCTCTACACTTTGCGCACTCTGCGCTCCCCACGCCACACTTTACATTTTACACTCCGCACTTTACACTTTACACTCCTCACTCCACACTCCACACTCTACACTTTACACTCCACACTCTACACTTTACACTCCACACTGCAGACTGGTAACAGAGGAAATATGTACAAGACTGTTCCAAGAACTATTGCAGAAAAGTGTTCTGCGTGACTGCATATCCAGGTTTTTGGACATCTGTACCATTAACATACGTGAGAGCATTCGGGTTCGTGGGCTGCATCTTGTTTGCTTGAGTTTCCAAGGCTTTGGCCATTCACAATTCCATGGTGGTTTGCACACAACAAACCAGGATGATGCTGACAAAAATCTGCTTTAAGGCATGTGATCAATCAGTAACATCAATGGCCCAAAGAAAATTGCTTCAGATATCCACATTCTGCCAAAAGTGAGTGAAGTAAGCGAAACTCTCAATGATTTGTCGGAACATCTTTTTCAGGATTCTCCGTAAACTTTCCTGGATGCGCCCACTTCCGACGCGGAGAACAACTTGCGCTCCGCCGTTGGGTGGCCAAGCCACCCGCAACGACGCACCGCTGACACACCTCTCTGCGCAGGTGCCCCTCTGGGACGTTTTGATCCCCGATCCCTCAACTTGTTCATTCTGGTTGCTGGTTTCCAATAATTAGTATGTTCGTAGTATGTTGAGCATTGGTCAACCATATTTGGGATGATTTTGGGGTTGAAAACATCAGATCCCTGCCTGCATCTTGAGAGTGGAAAACATCCCTGGCCATGTTTACGTTTTCACCGCGTTAAGCTTTAATAAAAACCAAGGAGGCAAGCAACGAAAATGGTGGATGGAAAAACCTAGGAGGCAAACCAAGCAACGAAAATGGTGGATGGAAATTCCAAAAGCACATGAATCCAACTGATGACATGATTAATCTTGATTCCATTTTATAACAGCATTGATTAAATAATCAGTTAACGGCTGGAAATTTCATGAGGAGCTCACAGCAGCTTGATAGTTCACAGTTCAACACATCCACTACTTTGGGATCTATTTCATCGGAGGTCCCCGTCTTGGAACCAGGGTGACCTTGTGCAAAGTGGTCGTGGTTTCACCTTTTGATCCTTGCTTTTTAGTGACAAGTTCACCCTCTCACAGAAGAGCAGTGGTGACTTCCCAAGCGTCAATTCTGGCCCTGTGCTCCTTCCCAGTGTTGCACGGGCCTGGTGTGCCGCTTCGGTTGAGACTCGTGCTCCGCTTTTCGAAAACGCCGCTCAACCGCAATAGCGTGCGTTCGCAATCATCGCAGGGTGGGTGTCCCAATGGAATGCCCCGCGTTCTCAGAAGAAAACGTGGCGGCACTGGGCGCCCTGAAAGCCTGCAGTTTTGGCGCGCCATGCAACGCATGATGGCGCAATACACAGTGAAAGGCCTGCAATGCCGTGACCACAGTTGGGTGAAGAGCTTAAAGCAGTGACCATTTCCAGCAAAGTTAGTCTGCAATGGAAAACATGTGAAACAAAACAGCCATAGTTTGATAATTGATATGGAACATGATATGTTATATTTTACAAGTTATAGGTTCTATGTCTTATAGTTTTATAGTTTATGTT